TCTGTGAAATGAATGTGAGTGTTATAATTGTACTCTCCATTTTGCTTCGTTCTACTACAACGTTTAAATTATTTTTTATAGTTATAATTATTTTTTATATTTTAGAATTATAATATATTTCTTTATAATATTCTGAACATCTACAGTTTTAGTTAGACGTTGAATATTTTCAAGTGAATTTATGCTAAATTTCAGCTTTCCAACGCCTCCTTTTTAATAAATGTTTTCTCCTACAAAATCAGAATGCAGCGCCACATTAAATACGCACTACAATGCCAATAGTTTAAAGTGATTTGAAGCATGTTTTATTTTCAAAATGGAAATATGGTTGGGGGGGGGGGCAGAGCTTTGTGACGTCATATTTGAGGGGGGGGGGGTCTGACTTTTTGTGACGCCGTGTAACGAGGGGGGGGGGGTTCAAACATCTTCCAATATCGCGTGACGTCATTTATGGACAGCCCCTTAATCGCGCGTCCGATAATATAATCGGTGTTTAGCTGTATTTAAGTTAGTGCGTATCAGACATCTACATCGCCCTTGAATAAAGTACAGGCGGACGCCGCTTAGCGCGTAAAACACCGAAAAACACCGAAAAACACCGAACAACACCTGAATGTTTATAGCGGCTCTTTGTCCGTTTACGAGTGAGACCACGCAGGGGCAGCAGTCCCGGCCGAGGCAACGTCACAAGGCCCCCCCCGCCTGCCTCATCATTGGCTTAGCCAATGAGAGCGATGCACGCCATTCGGACCCCACTGCCCCGCAACTCCCCGCGATTCCGTTATCAAGATTTTTGGTCACGATTTTTTTTTTTTCTTCAACGTTACCCCGATGTTGCGGCAATAACTGTGGCAGCCTGTGAACACAGTCCTTCATAATAATGACGTTTATAATGGGGCAAGTCAACAAACGCATGTTGTTTCTAAATGTGGAGGAAAATTAACAGAGGGCCGGAGAAAATCCACATGACCACGGGGAGAACATGCAAACTCCAAATATACAGGGTCGGGATCGAATCCAAGACCGCCTATACACCAGGCGAGTTTGTTAACATCTCATCACATTTAACCGTTGGAACCAAATGTTTACCTATAAGCAACTCCTTTAAAACATCACCGAGTATGGGGGAAAACTTACGGATATTGAACTTTGAGTCTGGCCTCATACAAGGCAGCAGCGGCTCTGTATCTTTCATTCCACTGCCCCAAATGACCCCAGGTATCTCACTTTGGGCCAATCCACGGCACGTATTTTCCAGGCTATTTATTCCACCTGGCCATTATCTACCTTAAAAGAGTGTTTACAACAGGTCGTGAATCTTCCACTGCAAATGCGTTTCGTGTGGCTTCGTACTGCAACGATTCACAACAGCGCTTTTCCGAGACGTGTAGATTGTTTAAGCTGAGGTTTAACAAAGGTAGCGAAAGTGTTTAAAGACGAGTATGCAAACAGCCTAAATGCTCCAGAGTTGTTAGCCATGAAAGCCAGCTTATAATAAATTGCTTCAGTCTAATGTTTTTAATATAGAGAAAGTCAAGTCCAATTATAATTGCCTCGTTTCGAAAGGAATACGACTCTCAGAAGAAATGGGTTTTCGGAATCTTGAAATGTTCACGTTACTCTGTGGTAAGTTTCATTTGCATTATTATCACACTCACAAGCGCAAATCCGACACTTCTAGTTTACGGAGGTTTGTGGGAGGGAAAACAGCAAACTGAACAACGTGTAGGTTTTTCACAGCCAGTGTTATGAATCATAACTGAATTTTCAATCACGAACCGTGGCATGCAATTATTATTAAGGGCAAAAACACATAAAAGGCATAAGGCAGGAGTTCGGGTCAAACACCAAAGGTAAAGACCCCCCAGGTAGCCTTGAAAAGACTAGTGGGGCACGTGCTATTAGCGAGCAGCACTGATGAAGGCTGGCACAGCACACGAGGGGGTTGGTGGCCAGCATCACACCCGGCCGCCTTTATCTCCCTTTTGGCGACGTTTACACACCACACTAGGTTCTGTACTCATTTGATGCCGAGTCGACCGAGGGGAGGCCCACGACCGGTTCAGATAAAATCGTCACCGGTGCTGGCCGAGAGCAGGAATCGAACTTGGGTCGCTGGGTTTGCAGCGCAGCGCAGCACAGCACGCTAACCACTACTCTACAGCTTACCTAGCCACCATTGTCTCACTAAAAGCCAGTGTTTTATGATTATGACCCACACCACAAACACCACGACCACCATCACAGACAGCAGGCTGTATCGTATTGTTTGTGTAAGCATTCTTACCCCGTGCCCCTACTGAACATCTGTGAAAAAGAGCATTATAGCTAATCGGATTCCTCCTGCAGTATAAATAAATATTCTGATTCTGAACCCGGGTTGCCGGGTTTGCAGCGAGTCAACCACTGCACCACCGCTCCCCACACGCACACAGACCTAACCACCTTTGTCTCACCAAAATCCAGTGTTTTATGATTATGACCCACAACACCAACACCACCACCACACAGCAGACAATATCGATGCGTGCACCACTGCCTGGTGCACACTAGCGTAATGTAGGACGCAGATTTCTGGGAGCTATAGGGAGGACGAGGGTTCAAGGTGGCGAGGGAGAGAGACTCTCTGGAGTTTGTACCAAGGAACTACATTGTTTGGGTAATTTGTTTACCCGTCTTGTACGTTGCTCTGCTGTCGTGTTTTTGTATTGTTTGTTGGTGTAACTTTCTTACCCTGTACCCCGAATGGATATCGTCTAAAAAAAGAGCTTCATAGCTCATCGGATTCCTCCTGAAGTATAAATACAGATTCTGATTCTGATAAATATTCTGATACGGTGATCTTTGACGTCAAACCTCACAACCCTGTCAGGATGATGAACCCTTTACTTTCACACCGATCTACTGATTTCTCACAATGTGTTTAAGCGTGAGACCTGAAATGATCAGTAGCTAGGTTAGCAGTGAGTGTGTTTGTGCGCGTGTGTTGTAACTAGCAGAGGTCGTAGTATGGTGGGGAGCGGTAGGGTAGCGGTTAGCGCTACGCTGTACTACGATCCCGACGTCCTGAGTTCGCAATCGCGCTCACGGCCAACATTGGTGACGAACATCTGAACCAGTCCTAGGCCTCCCCTAGGTCGACTCAGCCTCAAATGAGTAGCTGGCGCGGTGTGTAAAACACCGCCACTGCGGAGACAAAGGCGGTCGGGCGTGGTGCTGGCCACCCACCCCCTCGTGTACCGTTCCGGCCTTCATAGGTGCTGCTACTCACTAACAGCAATTGCCCCTACAGTCTGTGAAGGCTATACGGGGGAACTTTGTCTTTGTTGTAACTAGTGTGTGGCCTTCTTGTGTTGACACCAATGGTCTAAATACTCAAGCACCGTTCGGTGTAAATAAGACAAATACCAAAGAGGCTGTCTTTCCGACAGACCTGTTCTTCACCTGAGGACGGCTGCTTGCGTTGTGGCCGAAACGTCGTGAGAATTGTATTTTATAATGTTTTATTTTTATTATTTTATTATTTCCCTTCTACGTGACTTTACCGAAAGAACCAAGAAGATGAATCCCTGCAGTCACGAAAGCTTTAAATCGAAATAAGACAAATACCCTTACCATAGTGACGACAGAACCAGTGAGCAGCTCTGTGCTACCGTGGCTTCTCTGTGTTGCACAATGTTAGATAAACACGTGACACTGAGCACTAGTATCAGCAATACGAAAGAGCAGTCATCGTTTTAAATGTGCAATCCAAACTTTACGTGATTTTATAAGTACTGTTCGTGTAGTTGTCGGTAATCGCTCAACCTGTGAACAAATTGGGATGTGGCCAGCAGTGATGATGGGTTCACTAATAAGTGAGTGCTCATACACGTATTCAATATTATATTATTAATTTTAAATTGACGCAAAAACTTGAGATGTTTATTCACGGAAATGTTATAAATCGTTGGCTATGTTTAAACACACTCTCCATCATTGACTAAGCACTTGTGCCAGCGTGGAACAGGGACATGTCATCACGGTAAACGGATTCATGGAAGAGTTTTATCCACCTCCACTTCCACTGTGAACGGGATAGATGGATTTTGTGAGTTGAGATTATTTAGACATTTATGAAGTGTATCTTTACCATGTGGCCCCAGACAATCAACGTGTCATCCACATATCGAGTGTACTTCAAGCTAGTGCGTTTGCTTCAAAGTTTTTGATGTACAGATTTGCAATTGCAGGAGACAAAGGAGAGCCAATTGTTGCTCCTTCCTTTTGTTTATAGAACTCACCTTTCCACGAGAAAAATGTGTTTTTTAGACAGTGCTCAGCTGGTCGTGGGATATCTTTGGGTAAACCTGTGTTCGTTACCATAATAAACAACACCTAGTTCGTGCTTGACTGACTAACAACTCTCAACTAAAAATGTACAATTTAAGAACAAAACTATTATCAACGTGACTAACATTGAACTAACCAACGATATGATGTCAGTACTATCTAACTTTACTGTTGCCCCACGTACAATTCCTGTCGATTGCGATAATTGCTGAAGTTGAATCGGCAGTTAGACATCTCCCACACAATCTTCATTTCTCCCTCTAAGCCTGCGTACTTCTCTACGCGTCTCCTCGTACTCATTGACATGTAAATTTTGTCTCTAACCCCTCCCTCTCGCTGCCTCCGCCCCCCTCTGTCTATTTAAGGCCACCCCACAGAGACGATCACCCCTCTCTGTACCTGTGTTGCTCGCTCTATGTATCTTGGTGATATCTGTCTGCTTATATGTCCGTCTATAGTTTTCTGGTGAGATTTTATGTTGCTATTTCATTATACCTGATGATGATTGCTTGTGTTGCAATCGAAACGTCGTATGCTATTATTTAATGTATTATTTTATCTTTATACGTGACTTTACCGAAAGAACCAAAGAATATCTCCCACACAATCATGAGAACTTTGAATGTCTTAACGCTCCTCTGTGTTCTACCCCTGCAGGTCTGGTGACCTTGGGAACCTCCCAAGTGGAGGTGGATCGTTTTGTGAGTGGTTGCAGGGGGCAAGGGGTCACCCTGAGATGCGTCTACACGGGGTCACAGACGCCTGGGAGTATAACCTGGTGGCATGTAAACGAAGACTCTTTAATGAGAATCGCCATTGCCCTTCCAGGTGATTACAGAATTGACAATGACACAGACTTCTATGGGCGACTGAACTTCACGAACCTCAACTCTACACTGACGGACGGATCCATCCGCATTGAAGACCTGCGACTGAAGGACGAGGGAATCTTCACCTGCGGCTTTGACACTCTTGATAACGAAACTCAAGCAACAATCAGCCTGACTGTGAACGGTGAGCCTTTCTCGTGTTCAATGTGATAACAGTAACTTATCGATCTTTTATTCAATATCAGGTCGTGAGTTTAAATACCAGTCAGAGGAGGTAAGTTCAGCCCACCATTATCATCTCTCCAAGATCAGTAGAATGAAGTTAGAAATAGTTTCCAGAGAAATGTGGAATGTCCACCATCGTCTCATTGAAATTAATAGAGATGTTCATTTGGGGGTTGGAGGCTCAAATGAGCATCGGTGTGTAACAACATACCACCGATGATATTGTTGGTGATTTCTGTTTTAGAATTGCAATTTGAACTTGCGTACTTATTTGTATGTAAGGGGCGCCACGGTGGCTAGGAGATGTTAACTTCCTCGCCTGCTATACAGGAGGTTGTGGGTTCGATCCCGACTCTGACGTCTGTTGTATGTTTGCGGGTTTGCGGTGTCTCTCCCCGGAGTCGTGTGGATTATTTCTCTGGTCCCTTGGTTGTTCCCTCCACATTTAGAATAAACATGTGTATTAATAATTTTGCTGCTCTAAATGTCCACATTCATTGAGCTATCATATGTGATAGTCAGGTCGCTTCTGAAATAAGAACAGCACACTGGGCCTCACCTGGTGAAATTAAGAGTTTAGTTTTCGTTGATTTTTTTGGTGTGATTTGCCTACCTTTCCTGTACTTTGTTTTCCTATCGTGTTTTTGCATTGTTTTTTTGTTGTAAATTTTGACCCGATTCTACTGGAGCTCATCGGATTCCTCCAGAATGAATTCATATTCTGATTCTGAACTCGGGTCGCTGGGTTCACAGCGCAGCGCTGGCAACCACTACACCGCAATTCACCCAACCACCTTTGTCTCACTAAAAGCCAGTGTTTCATGATTATGACACACAACACGCGCACACCAAAAAAGCTTTGATGTAAAACCTCACACACTTTCAGGATAATGAACCCTTTACTTTCCCACTGATTCACTGCTTTCTCACAATGTGCTTAAGCATGAGGACTGAAATGACCAGTAGCTAGGTTAGCAGTGAGTGTGTTTGTGTCTGTTGTTACTAATGTGGGGAGCGGTAGTGTTAGTGCGCTGCGCTATAAACCCGCCCCCCGAGTTCGATTCCGGCTCACGGCCAACACCAGTAACGATTATCTAAACCTGTCCTGGGCCTCCCCTAGGTCGACTCAGCCTCAAATAAGTACCTGGTGAGGTGCGTGCACATTGCCACTTGGGAGACAAAGGCGGCCGGGCGTGGTGTTGGCCACCCTCCCCTTCGTGCGCCGCGCTGGCCTTCATAGGTGCTTGCTAACAACATCTTTGTCCTTGTTGTAACGAGTGTGTGGCCGTCTTGTGTTGGCCCCAATTGACTAAATACGCAAGCACCGTTCGGTGTAAATAAGACGAATACCCTTACCATAGTCACGGCAGAACCAGTGAGCAGCTCTGTGCTCCCGTGGCTTCTCTGTGCTGCACAATGTACGGTAGTTCTCAATAATAGCTCGATATTTGATGATGAGGGCACCTGTGAACAGAGTGGGATGTGGCCAGCAGTAAGGATGGGCTCATTAATAAGCGAGTGCTAATACACGTATTCAATATTGTATTATTAATTTTAAACTGACGCAACACTTGAGATATTCTTTGAAGGAAATGTTAAAACCCATTGGCTCTAAAACAATCTCCATCATTATCTCAGTATTTTTTCCAGGTTGGAACAAGTAGCGGTGTTCCATCACCGTTAAATTATTCATTCAAATAACGTTGCCATTTGTCTGTATAGTATGTATGTTGAACTTCTTTAGCACCATACGTAGCCAACCGTGCTGGAATCGTGTCCCCATACGGAAAGTTATACCATTGACTAAATGTGGCCCATGGAGGCATCTGAGATCTACGGTGGATGATGCAGCAGCACATCGCACTGCAAGTGTGCAATGGACTATTAAGTTCTCAGGCGCGTGTCTGAGTTAATGATGACGTCACCCTGCTCCTGCCCCATATAAGAACGGGCGACACAGCAGAGACTCACCATTCTGGCGAATTGCCCGATGATGCTGGTTGCAATTACCAGCGAAACGTCGTACTACTCAAATTGTAAATGTTGTGGTTTCACGCTTCAACACACCGGTGGGCTAAAGCAGTGAACTATTTCTTTTTTGTCAACGTGACACTTTTTTTACTGATTGGCCGTGTCGGGTGGTGGAGGGTTACGACACATTTATAAATAACGCGATCTAAACCCAAAAACATTGATTATGGTCAGCACTGTCATGCTGGAAAGCTTCGGTCATGTGAATGTCCGGACGCTTTTAACAAATACAGACTTTCAGTTTATTTAAAATGTAAAAAAACATGTTGTAACATTTTCATTAGAAATAAAGTTATTGAGTATAAAGCATTACTTGACGGATATCCCTCATATATCGTAAATGCATTGGAAAACTTTGAGTATCTTAACGCTCCTCTGTGTTCTATCACTGCATGTCTGGTGACCTTAGGAACCTCCCAAGTGGAGGCGGATCGGTTTGTGACTAGGAACAGGGGGCAAGAGGTCACCCTGAGATGCGTCTACACGGGGTCACAGACGCCCTTGAATATAACCTGGCAGAAAGTAAACGTTAACTCCTCGGTGGAAATCGCCATGGCCTCTCTCAGTGGTTACAACATTTTCAATGACACCGACCTCTATGGGCGCCTGAACTTCACGAACCTCGATTCTTCACTGACGGACGGATCCATCCGCATTGAAGACCTGCATTTGAGCGACGAGGGAAACTTCACCTGCAGTTTTTCCACTTTTGATGACGAAGCTCAAGCAACAATCAGCCTGACTGTGAACGGTGAGCCGTTTTCATGTTCAATGTGATGGCAGTAACTTGTCGATCTTTATTTCACTGCCAAGTCGTGAGTTTACATACCAGTTGGAGGTAAGTTCAGCCCACCAACTGCGCTCGGCCGAGGTGTTGCTGATATTTTTTATATGAAGCATTATAGTTATGATGAGTGTATTATTCTTGATTTGAAGCTTTCGTGACTGCAGGAATCCATATTCTTTGGTTCTTTCGGTAAAGTCATGTAGGTAGAAAAATAATAGATCACGACGTTTCGATCGCAACACAAGCAATAATCATCAGGTGGGACAACCACAGCAAGTTTTTTTCTTATAATCCCACCTGATGATTATTGCTTTTGTTGCGATCGAAACGTCGTGATCTATTATTTTTCTACCTACGTGACTTTACCGAAAGAACCAAGGAGGATGAGTGTATTGTTGTATACACTATTACGAATACTTATTATGTAGGTTGGAGATGAATACAACATTATAACATGACTTCATGTTGTTATAATGGATATGCCCTTAGCAAATAGGAGATAGTGAATATTTGTCCATTCATATTTAAGAATTTACGTCTGAAATAAATGTTTTGGGAAACAACTTTGAATTAATGACATGAACTAATTGAAGAATTTAATAAAGAAGGCTACAGAGTTGGACTTACTTTAAAGACAGTAGACTCTCAATTATCCGTGTGCGTTTTATCCTATTTGCGGATTAACCGCACACCTGACATTTTGACATGAATTGATAACGCATGGAATTTTCCTTAAGCCCAAATAAAAAATTCAAAAAAACAGTTATACATTGTTATTCTTGGAAATGTTCATTACAAGTCGCGTTCTTAAACCGAACAAATATGTTGCTCCGGTTAGTTTGAAATCCACGTGATTGCATCTGCAGTACAGTGGTTGCAATATCGATACAACAGTGGGCTGAGTTTGATTGATTTTGATTGGCTGTGGCTCTGCTGTCATCCAATCAGTGGGCTGAGTTTGATTGATGTTGATTGGCTGTGGCTCTGCTGTCATCCAATCAGTGAGCTGAGTTTGATTGATGTTGATTGGCTGTGGCTCTGTAATCATCCACTCAGTGAGCTGAGTTTGATTGATGTTGATTGGCTGTGGCTCTGCCGTCATCCAATCAGTGAGCTAAGTTTGATTGATTTTGATTGGCTGTGGCTCTGCTGTCATTCAATCAGTGGGCTGGGTTTGATTGATGTTGATTGGCTGTGGCTCTGTAATCATCCACTCAGTGAGCTGAGTTTGATTGATGTTGATTGGCTGTGGCTCTGCTGTCACCTAATCAGTGGGCTGAATTTGATTGATGCTGATTTGCTGTGGCTCTGCTATTATCCACTTAGTGGGCGGACTCTTCGGCGAGGAAGTAAGTAAACTAATTTTCGTAATTTAAACAATTATACCCATATTAGTAGTTTTCGGCATAGAGATCCGTGGAAATGTTTTATATTTTTGGATTATCCGTGATTTCGAATTATCCGTGGCCATCCTCCCCGCCATTAGTTCGGATAATCGAGAGTCTACTGTATAAATAAAAATCTAAATATTTATTTATACTGGAGGAATCCGATGAGCTATAAAGCTCTCTTTCACAGATGTCCAGTCGATATGAAAAACAAATATCATGCACAGCAAGTTTGCTAAGCAAATTTAAATATTTGATGCTAGGACACAATTGGACAATACATCCGAGAGCGCATACCCTGGGCCAATTGTTGCATGCAGACTGGAATCAGAGTGATGAAACAAAGAGGTGGTGAGAGAGCAGATTTGGAGTGAGCTTTTGGAAAAATGAAATTGATTTAAAAAAAAGCCATATTCCAAGGGAGGAGATGAATATGAGAGATTGTTCTTTTTACGAACACATTTTTTTGCTGTCAAAATAGAAAAGTTTCAAAATGTGCAAAGACGCACGGGCAGGTGCATGCTTGGATTGATACCCTGGGAATCAGAAAGATAAATGCACGAACTAGGGAACAAACACAAAGTAGTGAATCATGTATCGGAAGTGGGCTTGGCAGGATAAAACGGTAGCTGCTGTTCGAGACTAAGTGGCAGCCAAACAGAAGGAACACTCCCCAAAAGGATGTGCACCACGGAGATGGAGTGATGGAATCATCTCGTGTGCAGGCGCTAGAATCAGTCGTTCTTAACCTGGGGTGCACGCACCCCCTGGGGGTGCAAGATGCCCTTTCTGGGGTTGCGATAAATGGGCAGATCTTTTTAGAAGGTAAATCGTCGAAAACACAAATCAAGCACGGTCACGTAAGTACAACTTCCGTTTCATCGAACCCTATGTATTTATTAACATTACATATTTTTTAACGATCGAGAAACAAGAGGGTGCAGGCTGCAGTAAAATGTTAAGAGCCACTGCGCTAAATGGATCGGTTTGGAATAAAAATAAACGTTTCGGATGGCAGCAGTTTGGGGGAAGTCTTCATTCAGAAGCAGACGCCGATGACTTTGCACTAATGAAGATGATGATGATACGATGGTCTTATAATAGCGATATGAATAGGGCACAATTATATAATGGCTAATATTTTATTAACGTAAATATAACAGATCATGATGGTGATTGTGCTCACGTTAGTAACCATGAGCCACACATTCAAATTCTACATTCCTATGACGAAAATAACGAGGCCTCCCGTTATTTTCCCCTTCCCTTCCGTGCCCCAGTTCCCCCGAAGGTCTTCCTGGAGTTGAGCCCATTCCAGTTGGTCGAGGGCATGGGGCTGGTGACCGTGGCCACGTACGTCGCTCTGGGAGGAAAGCCCGCAGCCTCCATCACCTGGAGTGGCCTCGATCAAGGCAGCTCCAACGAGACCACAGAGACGGAGCCCGACGGCACGGTGACGGTGATGAGTCGCTACTGGCTGGAGCCCACGTACGAGAGCCACGGGATGATACTCATCTGCAGGGTGGAGCACCCGGCCTTGGAGCGTCCTGTGGAGCACTCCAACATGCTTGACGTTCACTGTGAGTGGGGCACCGTGAAGGTTCAGGTTTGTTGTTGATCTCTATCCCGAATAAAGTAGCAGTGTGAGCACCATAGCCTCATCGTGCCAACCGCTGAATTGCAGAAACAGGTTGTCTGTTCGACTTTTGGCGTTGTCCTCTCGTCTACTTACACTGGTGGTGTCTCTGGTGTTGGCCAATTCGTTTTAAAGACAATGCATACATTATCAGAGCATGTTTGTTTGTATGTTTTAACACAAGTGTGTGCGGTTAATGCAGACTTGAATCCTCGCAAAAGCTATCTATTTGGTGTTTGAACATCTTAATAAACTCCTGTTTAATTTCAAGAAAGGATAAAACCTATTCTTATTTTTCATAGGTTGTCATAAGGCTGCGGAGATATGTGGCGGGCAGTGTCTGAAAATCCATTGCCCTGTACTTCAAATTGTTTTATTGAAACAATAAACGCAGGCCTAATACAGCATGTTGCAAAGCGGCAATAACCAGGTGATATTATCGTTATCTAAAAAGCAACCCCAACACGACTGATCCATTTAAGAGAAGCGTGGGGGGGGGGGGATAAAGGATGGGGATAGGTGGGTTCAAATGGAGGGGGAGGTGGTTGGGATAGGAGAAGTGGGGGGTAAGACCAGAGCCGGCCCAGCCACCAAGCGACCCTTGCAATTGCAAAGGGCCCCGTGGCCAGCAGAGGGCCCCCTAGAGTCACTGCTAGCTAGTGGGTGAAAAAAATCATACATCAAAGGGGCCTCCAACCAAATTTTGCTTAGGGCCCCCAAAGGTCTAGGGCCGGTTCTGGGTAAGACCAACTTATGGAGGGAGATTCTGAGCATGTGGGGGAGAGAGGGGGGGGAATAACCCTAAAATAATAATAAAACATTCATGCACCCATTGTGAGAAAAGCACTTTCCCTCCTCCAATCCGAACTCCTCTCCCACTAGGTCCTGGAGGGTTTTAGTTCAATAAAATAATAGGGGTTTCCCCCCTTTTTTCTGGCAACAAAACTGAAACCTTTTTACAAGGAATCATGTGTGCATTAACCACAATATACTTGTGGTGAAAATGCAAACAAAAAACACACTCTGATAACATATCAGTTTCAAGGACAAGAGTGTGTTTTTTTTGTTTGCACTTTGAACACAAGTATTGTGGTTAATGCACACATGATTCCTTGTAAAAAGGTTTCAGTTTTGTTGCCAGAAAAAAGGGGGAAAACCCTATCATTATATTTTGGTACTGGCAAAGGAGGTCTAATGATGTTTTTTATTCACCCCTCTTTTTTGGTCCATGCCTCCTGGCCCCCCTCATCATCTGGCTCGCTCACTTCAGGCTCTGTAACAAGGGGGGGGGGCATCTGGCTTAAAATTCGATCCTCATTTCCCTTGAGCTTGTGACTCGGCTCTGTGTTCCACGCTCGCATGCGCGAGGAGAGTATTACACCACTTTAGGGGCTGTCCATAAATGACGTCACGCGATTTTGGACGATTTTTGACCCCCCCGCCCCCCCCCCCTCGTCACACGGCGTCACAAAAAGTCAGACCGCCCCTCAAATATGACGTCAAAAAGCTTTCCCCCCCCCCCCAAAACCATATTTCCATTTTGAAAATAAAACATGCTTCAAATCGCGTAACTATTGTCATTGTAGTGCGTATTTAATGTGGCGCTGCACTCTGATGTTGTAGGAGTGTTGTTATAACAATTCTATATTTATTTAAAGTTGCGCATTTTGATTTGACGTCACATTTCTCAAACCCCCCCTCCCCTCGTCACACATCGTCAAAAATGTCTGACCCCCCCCCCTCCCCCAGGTGCATGAGGTTATTTATGGACGGCCCCTTAACACGTAATAGTAGTAGGGCTTTCGCGACAAATATCCATGAGAGAGATGTTTGGGTTAGATCACGCTAGTATTAATGCATCATTAATCCCGCCACCACCCGACACAGCCAATTAGTAAGGTTTGTCACGTAAATAAAACGTGCTAATTCGTTACTAGTTCAGCATACTGGTGCGTTGGAGAGTGAACCCACAACATTTATAATTCGAGTATGACGTTTCAACGGTAAGGCCATGCTACTCCTATATGCTGTCCGCAATTAGAGACCGTGAACATTTAGCAGCACTTAAAGGAGCCCTCGACTGCACCTGTTGCCTCCACCATTCGCAGACAAACCCAGAGTGAGCATCGCCGGCTACCATGGCGATTGGTACGTGGGGAAGGAAGGAGCCTCGTTGAGTTGCGAAGCGGACACGAACCCCAGCATCACGCACTACCTGTGGCGCAGGTAAGCGACCGCAATAAGAGTGTGACGAAGATGAGTTTCATAACAATTGCTCCGTAGATGCTTTGCACCAGTAACGGAGCCCGCACTGGGTTCTGCATTTGTATCGGGGTGTCTACCAAGCCTCCCGATTGAATATGGCTACATCAGATGCAGAGTCAGTACACCGCTGAGATCCTCAATCGAGATTTCAGATGCCCACGTTTCATTTTACTTTGCGTTGCTTACAAGTGGACACAAACACACATTTTTGTTCAAGCAAAGTACCCTTTCGCATAATAAACCAGTAACTGGTCATAAACTAACACCAGCCGTTGGCTCAAGCTTCACAGTTGACGGGAGAGGGTTGTGTACGGGCGACTCCTCATATGACGCACCGTGAATGCGCTCCCGCGTGAGGCGAATGATACGTTAAGGCGAAAAACAATTTCGCCATAAATAATGTCGTCACGGTAAAGTCTGGCGAGCTACGATATGCTACGACTACTCGGCACACCGCGCAGTGAGGTGGCGGGGACAAATAAACCCAGGGCAGGTCGCCACTTTACTGCACAGTTCCTTGGACTGCATCGCTCAAGAAAGTCGTTAATCGTCGACCGCTCAGACATCGCGTTATAATAGGGCACGTTCCGCATTGTGCCAAAAGCGTTCCCTAATGGCAGAGCCGCGTTATAGTGTGAACACCGCCACGCGTCAAGCAAGGGCTTGTCCATATTAGTACGTGTTTAGCACTTAAGGGTAATAGAAAGTTGATCTCTACGCTAACCGTGCCCTCGAAATCAAACTAATGTAGAACTTTAGGCTCTGGGATCGATGGTGAAGGCCCCTGCCCCTCCGAGACCGCCCTGAGACTCTCGTTGCTGCTCTGGCTGCCTCGGTGGTACTTTGCCCCGTCGTTGGTTCTGGTCTCGGATTGTTTCCATCTCAGGCTCTGCCAGCCATGGTGTTGGCTCTCCCGCTCTCTCTCTCTCTCCCAGATCTCCAATGCTTCCTTCCCGTGTCCACCATCGCTTCTTCCATAATCTACGAACGAATCTGCGTCAGTGGTCTTGAAATGCAGTTGTTATCGTCGAGTAAAAGCAATCAACCTCCAGGCAAAAAATTGCTGCATCTAGGTTTGACAATATAGCTACTAGTTTTTCGACTGTATCCAGTCATAAGCATCTAATCCATTATTTCTGCCAAATTCCCAGGCATGATATAACATCATTAGAATGTACTTAATTCACTCTGTCGGTCACGATGAGATTCACTCTGCTATTGAACAGACAATTGAGTGGATAACAAATCAAAAATGACATTTAATCTGCTATTAATGCATACGAAAGAAGTCTTGCAGTCACACTTGTCTACATATATTAGCCCTTTCCCATTCTGATTCCATTCCAATGTATGTAATCGCAACGGTACGCCATCATACATGTACGTCATTGGAACGGAATCAGATGCACGATGACGTACATGTACGATTGCGTGCTTCCGATTTCGTTCCGAAGACGTACATGTAGGTCATCGGAATGTAATTGGAAGTAAAAATCCATGTGGTCGTGTCGCTACAATTTTCTGCAGAGAGTACCAATGTCTTTAAAAATAGCAGCGCTACTACTACGCCTCTCTAAATAAAATTAACGCTGAACCCGCTCGCGCATTCCGAGATTCAGCGATGAATGGGACACCCCACCCTGCAGCTTGCAGATGTCTGGGAATGGGGAAAAGGGTTCACAGCTCATTCGAATTTCTCTTCGCAGTTTCTGCAGCAAGTGTAATCGCACGATGCTCACCGCGTGTCGTGCTCCCTGTGTTCTGGTGTGCTTGCTCTTAGGCAAGACGGCTCCATGCCCAACGAGATAGTTGTGAGCGGCAACTCACTGTCCTTTGAGCGGCCGCTAGTGGAGTCAGACTCTGGGTCGTTCTCCTGCTGGGCCAATAACTCGGTGGGCTGGGGCGAGGCGGTGGTTATCATTACCATTCAGCCAGGTACAACCACCGCTGCTATAACAACAACTACAGCCACTACGCCTGTGGCAACCCCAACAATACCAGGTATTCGCACGAAACTGACTTTCCTTATGTAGAAAACTCTCACTGGCACCAAAAGGTACAATAGATGGTTCCTGTTTCAGCACCAAAGCAGTTAACTACGGTGATGTCCATAGTGCTGGAATGTTCTCACCATGTACGTGTGGGGTTTATCCAGACATTTATTCGCTCTAATTAATAATACTAAAGCTATATAGTATTTACTGGGTCAACTTTTGACGTGAAATAATGGCTCACCTACTCAAGTTGATGACCTCCTAGTTTCAAACACTTTCTCACAATATGCTCAAACGTGAGGATTGCAAATGACCAGATAACGGTGCACGTGTGTGGTTCCTATGTTTTTTCCCAATTAGTTGGGACAATTATTCGCGCACCATTTGATGTGAACAAGACAACTGTGTATTTTATACACCGCAGCACTAGGCATAGAGATCAGTATTTGGATAGAAAATATAATGGGTAGGATTTTCTCCAGGCATGATCGTTCCTTTATCAGCTGCAAGAATTTTGCAGCCTGTTAGACAGTCCTTTGTAGAGGGCGCTGATATATATCACCAAGAAACCCAGCAACATTGAATGGGTCATATCCTGCTGATAAAAGGGTTGCTGGAAAACGTTGATGAAAAAACTAAACTATTTAAGAACTATTTTTTATTTTACCAGATAACGCCCACTGAGCTATATAGCTGTTTTTCAGAAGCGACCTGGCAATGACAAACAATAGCTCAGCGATGTGGCTTATTATCATGTGGAAATTATTAGCAGCAAAATACTCCAAACGCGTGATTCTAAATGCGGAGGAAAAAAAATGGAGGGCCCAGAGAAAATCCACACGATCACGCGGAGAGAGAGAGACATGCCAACTCCAAATATACAGCAGGTTTTCATCTTCTTGGTTCTTTCGGTAAAGTCACGTAGAATGGAAATAATAAAATAATAAAAATAAAACATTATAAAATACAATTCTCACGACATTTCGGCCACAATGCAAGCAGCCGTCCTCAGGTGAAGAACAGGTCTGTCGATAAGACGTGACTTTACCGAAAGAACCAAGAAGATGAATCCCTGCAGTCACGAAAGCTTTAAATTGAAATTTATACAGTAGGTGTTAGTGACGGGATTGAACCTACAACCTCCTATACACACACAACTCCTTTAAATATTACCGAGTGTGGGGGAAACTTACGGATGTTGAACTTTGAGTCTGGCCTTACACAAGGAAGCAAAGGGACCTCTCTGTATCAATCATTCCACTGTCCGAACTGACCCCAGTTTATCACTTTGGGCAAATACACGACAGGTACTTTCCCAGGCTATATATTACACTTGGCCATTATCTACCTGAATCGTCCCACTGCGAGTGAAATCATGCCACTTCATACTTCAGCGATTCACAACAGCGCTGGCCTAGACTTGAGATGTTTGTTTGAGGTTTATTAAGAGAGCCCAACCAGTGAAAGTTTTTTGTATTAATATTATATATACACGACTAAACAGAGGCCAAATGTGTGGGTTTAACTTTTTTTTGTGGGTGTCTATACCAAATGCATTTATTCATCATGAAGGTGCACATAGGAGGTAGTGTAGAAGGTACACAAATGGTTATAATTCACAATCTCATTAGATCTGGTGAGTTAAGAAGAATTGACCGTGGTTAATACCAATAAAGGCTTTTTGTTTAGAGCAGTGGTTCTTAACCTGGGGTGCATCACGCACCCCCTGGGAGTGCTTGATGGCCTTTCTGGGGCTGCAAGACATAGCCAGATTTTTTTTAAAGGTAAATTATGGAAACACAAAGGAAGCACGGGCACTTAAGTACAACAACTTTGTTTCATCAAACCCTATGTATTGATTAACATTATTTTTTCTTAAATGAGTGAGAACCAAAGAGGGCCAGGCTGCAGTAAAGGTTACGAACCACTGGTTTAGAGTATCTGGCTAGACGGCACCAGACCATTCACAGCTCCCAACTGGAAGCACATAGGTTGTAATCCTGCTTATCAGTCGACTTATACCTTGGGTGCCCTTCTGGGGGGAACGATCCTGTCATAGGAATGTGGAATTTGACACTGCCATCTCACAACGACTGACATGTGAAATAAGAGCTGCACGTGAAAAAAAATAACGGGACTCTGTGAGAGTGTACGTTTTATAATGAATGCATCGTTATTACTGTAAAGGGATCTGTGGGGACTCACACCAGCCATGTTGCTGTCTTACAGGTGGTGGTGGTGAAGGTGGCGTTGAGCCCTGGGTTATAGCTGTTGCCACCGTAGTGCCACTGATAGCATTAGTGGCAGCGGTGGGAGCCATTTACTACTTCTGCTTCCACAAGAACAGGAAACCTCTTAAGTGAGTTTCTGACAAGAAAACGCGTATACAGTAGTCCCTCGGTAAACAGTGGCCATCGTTTAATGTTTTTTGCGGTTTAAGATTCGCCTCCCATAGGAGATCCCATGTTGATTAATGGTACGTTTACGTTGTTGCACGTGGGGTGCCAATTTCGGCCAATCAGAGCGCTTGTAAGTGGGGGCTGAGCCGTGCCCTCAGCCAATCAGTGACACTGATATGAGCGTTTCGACCTCGACTGGCTTTGTTTAAGATTACGTTTTCTGTTTCGGCAGAAATGTAATTCCTATATTCTATTACCAATTATTTCAGTTAACAGTAATTTTCGTGGAATGGATTAAAAACGTTACCATAGTAGATAAATACATATTTAATTAGAAATGTCACGGAAACTGGATTCAGTCCCGTCCGTAAAATCCGAACAAATCATTGGCGAAATCTTCTGAGAGAGTGACTCGAGTTACGTTAATGGAATCTTGCTGAAGTTGGGTTCCCCGTTAATTTATATTTGAACCCATTTCACGTAACGACATTATCATATCCACGCGTATGGCTTCAGCCCCTATAGGGTGACATCACCCAATAGAAGCTTAGTGACGCCATGAAACTAATACGGCATATATATACAGGGTGCTTCAAACATTTTTGTTTTAAATTTGCAACAATGCCACAAGAAATGTGCCTCCAGGCTCTGGAAACCACCTGGAGAAGATTCCAGGCATGTGTTGACAATGACTTTTAAAGCTATTGGCATACATTTGTTAACATGTTACAGTGTATTATCAGTTCTTTTTCCACTAAAAACGATAGTCCCATATAAGTGTCAAAAAAATGTAAGCACCCTATATATATTCACATAACATTGCGATATTACGTGTTTCACAATCTGTAGGCGAAAGGATGATGGTGAAAATGATCAGCAAAGAGCTCCAGTTGAAATGGTAAGTGTTCTTATTTTTCATATACTGGTATTGCCAAAAAAGTTCCCATGATATAGCTGCTCACCCCGAGCTATAAATGTGATAATGGCTTCCCTTTGTACTGTTTGCCTTTTGGCGTTCTCTGGTCTGACACTGGTAAGACTAGGCCATAAAGAAGGCTGTCTCTGGTGTAGGCCAATCCGTTTCAAAGACAATGCTTGTATTATTATCAGATCATTTGTGTTTACATGTAGACCACAAGTACGTGTGGTTAATGCAGACTTGATTCCTTGCAAAAGGTTTCGATTTGGTGTTTGAACATCTAAACGCAACTCCTGTTTTATTTCCAGAATGGGTAAAACCTATTATTATTATTTTTTATACCACGTTCATCAACACTGCCTGTAAGTTTGCGGAATGCCCTTGAAATAAAAAAGAGCTTCTTAGCTCTACAGGATTTACTCGATGGGAAATAAAATGGAAATTCTGATGAAAAAGCCTACATGAGGCGCCACGGTGGCTAGGAGATGTTAACTACCTCGCCTGGTTTACAGGAGGTTGTGGATTCGATCTCGACCCTGAAGCCGCCTGTATATTTGGAGTTTTCATGTCTCTTCCTCCCCATGGTTGCGCGAATCTTTCCGTCCACAATAAGAATGACCATGCGTTTAGAGCATTTGGCTGCTATAAATTTCCACGTGATAAGCCACCTCACTGAGCTATCATTTGTGAGAGCCAGGTTGCTTCTGAAAAAGATCGACACAGCTCAGTGGGCCTTACCTGGTAAAATACAAAATAGTTTAGTTTCATAGTTTATAATTCAGAGCTGTCGAGTACAACTGCGAAAAAGCTGCACTTGTTGTCATGCCAAGACATTTCTGGCGACAATCAGAATGATTCACCCAGTTAAAATGGGTGGCTTCTACTCTCCAGGTCAACGTTGCTGCTCGTCCTCTGCTTTGAAGAGCCACTTTTATTCCACGACCCTTCAACACCACACACACACAACAACCGCCATTCTCCACTAAGTGGCGGTGTAATCACAACGGTGCTTGTGCCAGGCTATGTGCACTTTGAGGTCACGTGAAGTGTCGAATGCCCGCTAGCAGGAGGTCATTGGATAGACCCAGGTGCCATGGGTTGACTGACTGAGATGACTGGCCGATGCATTACCTGTGCCCCCTACTGTGCCAACACACACAGTACAACCCACAAATACATTGAAAAACATTGAACAACAGTGGTGCTACATCACTTCCTGCCATATGATGTCTGTGACCCGATATTCCTGGAATGTCACTTCCTGGTGGAGTTAGTGCAATGCCATGGAGTGCTAGATCGGTTATGGAATAACAGTCATTGCCAATTGACTATAAGCAAGACCAACGCCTCCATCCCACTGTAGTTGAGCGAATTATTAGGCGCAATTTTACACGTAGGCTTTCACGACCGAATATTATTGTAAATAAATACAATTTTGGGTTACATCAGGAGCCTTTAGTAAGAGCTGATAATGCTGGATGTATTCTCCAGAAGAAAAACCTCGTATACAATTGTCACAATGTTGCTTGGGGTTTTTCAACGTTGCGGTTTGCTGTTGAACCAATATTTGCCAACGTGACAACTCGATTTGATTGGCGACCCGAGTTCTAGTCCCACCCACGACCAACACCGGTGACGATTATCTGAATGGGTCCTGGGCCTCCCCTAGGTCGACTCAGCCTCATTAGTACTTGGTGCGGTGTACTAACATCACCACTGAAGAGTCAAAGGCGGCCTGGCCTGGTGCTGGCCATCCACTCCCTCTTGTGCCGTGCCGTCCTTCCCAAGCACTGCTCACTAACAGCACTTGCCTCCCCAGCTTGTGAAAGCTAAGGGGGAGATCGTTGATGTTTTATGTGTGTGTGTGCGTGCGCATGTGCTCCCGTGTGTGTGCGCAATTGTGGGGACTCATTGCACCGCTTCCGACAATCAAGCCAGCATCAGGATTCAAGGTAAGTGAAAATAAAACATTATTTTCCTATTCATGTTGCTGTGTTTTGTTTGAATTACTATAGAATATTTATGACAGCATTGCATGCAAATGTACAATATTTCTTATTCATGAGTTTAACAATGCTTTACTTTTTTGTGTTGAACCGAACACACATCTTTTAACACTAATCGTATGTGCATTAAAATGCAGTACCATTATTGTGCCCGACTTACGAACGGACCGAAGGAGGAATGGAACCCTGTTCGTAAGTAGAGGACTGCATCGTACCTCTTAATTTTTTCCCTCCCCCCTCTCAGCAGCAACACAAAGAGCATGCGTACGAATACATCGACAAGCTGCCACCCGGCAGTGCGGTGTTAGAACGGCCACCCCTTGGCAGTGCCACAGCAATGCCTGTATATGACGCTGTGCCTGAACAACTCTCTTCTTGGTATGTCCGAGCATTCAAGCCGGGTTTTCTATATATGGCCGTCCATAAATGACGTCACGCACCTGGGGGGGGGGGGGTCAGACATTTGTGACGCTGTGTGACGAGGGGGGGGGGGGGGTTGAGAAATGTGATGTCACATCAAAATGCATAATTTAAAATAAATATAGAATTGTTATAACAACACTAATTGTTATAACAACACTCCTACAACATCAAAGTGCAGTGCCACATTAAATACGCACCACAATGACAATAGTTTAAAGCGATTTGAAGCATGTTTTATTTTCAAAATGGAAATATGGTTGGGGGGGGGCAGAGCTTTGTGACGTCATATTTGAAGGGGGGTCTGACTTTTTGTGACGCCGTGTGACGAGGGGGGGGGGGGGTCAAAAATCGTCAAAAATCGCGTGACGTCATTTATGGACGGCCCCTATGGACTTTAATAGCAGCCTTTCTTCTGTTTGTTTCGATGGTGAGAGCTCACCAAATGTGTGATTTGACGACTCACGGATGTATCATTTACAGTTAGGTTTTGTAAATAATTTGGTATGCAGGGTATTTAATTGGCACTCCATTGGCACTTAAGCTACTATTGTTTATTCTTCACAAGAACTGTAGATTATGCATACATACATATATACATACATTGTAGTCTCTAGCAATATGCCTGTGGGTTGTTGCCACGCTTAGGAAGCTCAACTCATCACTGGAAGGTTGTCAATTCAAATACTTTTTTTAAAGAGCTTTAGAGTTCATTGTTCATCTTCCAAGATAAATATACTGATTCTGAGTGGATAAAATAAGCATCACTTTGCGAGCTTCAGAATGATCGTGATTTATATCCGTGAAATATTGCTCGTGTTATAAATTGCGTTCTCTATTTACAAGTCCAAACAAACTGGCTACCATTTTCACGCCGAATGGCGATTGCCTGAAACTAGCGTAAGTCGCTTTTGCTGTAATTTTCTTGACTTAATTGCAAAAAAATAGAATATATCAATATATCAATGGTTTGCAGTACTGTACTTCATTACATTTTTACTAATGTCGGATATATACGTATATATATACGAGTCACCCCTGCTCATGCAAATTCCTACACTCCTGTCCAAACATTAAGCGAATTTAGTTTTCAGCCAATCCACGAAAGTAATGTTCTGAAACAACTGTCCTACCTCAAAGGGTCCTCCTCTACCGGAGCAGATAGTATTCCCGTCTTTGCTCTACTAACTGTTGGTCACCTAATATACAAACCTATAGCCCATATTTTCAACCTGTCCATCAAAGAAGCATCAGTTCCTCTAGAATGGAAACATTCCTATGTTCGTCCACTTCACAAAGGGGGCCCTAAAGATGATCCAAATAACTACCGACCTATCTCAATTTTGTCCCCGTTGATGAAAATTTTTGAAAAATTATTGACCTACCAAATTAACAGTTTCCTGTCCGCCAACAATCTATTACATCTAAAACAATCTGGGTTCCGAAAAAAATACAGCACCACATCTGCTGCATTAGACTCTCTGAATCACATTTACAGTAGCCTTGATAATAAGCAGTACTGCGCCTGTCTTTTTCTTGACTTGTCCAAAGCTTTTGATACAGTAGACCACAACATCCTGCTTAGTAAAATAAGTTGCCTCGGTTTTTCCGAAAACACAGTAAAATGGTTAAAAAATTACCTCTTTTCTCGCACCCAAACTGTATTCACAGATGGTTGGAGGTCAAACAGTGTTAAGATAACAAAAGGGGTTCCACAGGGTTCCATTCTCGGCCCCCTCTTGTTTTCTCTTTATGTAAATGACTTGGGCACTGAACTGGATTATTCCAGGGTAAATCTTTTTGCAGATGACACGGTACTAATTACTGCTGGCCGCTCTCCAGATGACGTGATTGCTAAGCTCCAGAGTGATTTCAACAAACTACAACATCAGCTAGTTGCTCTTAAACTAGTCCTAAATCCTGCCAAAACCAAGGTGCTATGCTTCTCACCAGGACTAAAGCGGGAAGTTATTTTTCCCCAATTACATACCTTAAATAATGATCAAATAGAGCAAGTCAAGATCTATAAGTATCTTGGGGTCATCCTGGATTCAAAACTGAATTTTGAAGATCACATTGATTATATTGGGAAAAAGACAAAAATTAAAATTGGTTTTCTATATCGACACAAGCACTGCTTCCCTCCTATGTTCCGTTTGGAATTGATTAAAGCTACCGTACTGCCTCTACTTGATTACTGTGACATTGTGTATAAATCAGCCCCAAGTACTGTACTGAAGAAGCTTGACTCAATGTATCACTCGGCCTTAAGATTTGCATTGAACTGCCCATATAGGACTCACCACTGTGATCTCTACATTGGGTCAAACTTAACATCTCTGAATGTTCGACGGCTTGTGCACCAGATCTTATTTATTCATGATGTACTTGCAAAAAAATCTGCAGATTACCTGCTGGATCTCGTCTCTGTTTCAAAGAACAAATTTGACCTAAGGTCTACACTCATTTACCAGCTTAATATTCCCTATTGCCGTACATATACTGGAGGAAGGGCCTTTGCTATTGATGCTCCCAGGGTCTGGAATGCTGTTGCAAATAAATTGAAACTTGAGTCACTACCTATGAGATCTTCACTCAAAACTGCTTTAGAGGAGTTGTACACCCCTAGCTGCCAGTGCTATTCAGTGACCTAAAATAAAATGTTTCGCTCCGGATGATCGCTACAAAGTATGACCTGTGTTTTGATTTAGTGTGCTGATCTTAAAGGTGCATTGAAAAATTACAATACTCCGATTGATGCTCCTGCTGTTGTGGAGTGACTCATGCAGCCAGCTATGGCTGCAGGGTTTTGGTAGTACATGTTGTTTATGCCATTTATTGTGAAAATTCCGTCAGTTCCTATGATTGCTTTTTCATTGCCTTCATGGCTTTATTTTGGTGATTTCGAAAAGTGTATTGGTTTAGCCATGTTTGTGTTGTTGTAGTACAGAGTTAGACTGATGGCCTTAATCTAAGTTGTCTTGTGGTTGTTGTTGTTGTTTGACTTGCATCCCACTGGGATTTTTGCACACAGCGTTGGTGTACGGTGTTTTTTCTGCAATATTTTTTGCTGTCTTTTCTTGGATTTTCTGTTTGCACTTAGTCACATATTCACTTTAAGATGTTTTTTTGTTCATGTTTTTGTTTTTTGTTTGTTGCGGTTGCACCCGATTCAAGAGCTGAATGGCTCACAGGGCTATACCTAATAAATGAACTTGAACTTGAACTTGAATACGTTGGCAATTGAAAGTGATACAATTTGACAACACAAAGTCAGGGTAGAAGTTGACGTGGTTATTTCTCCAAAGAAAATTATAGCGGAAGACAACACACAATCACGAGCCACTCATACTCCCTGTGTTGTTATGCAACTATTAAAATAACTTGTCGATTTTAATATTTTAATTCATTAACCTTTTTAAAAAACTTCACTCTTTCAGGAACCCCACGCAACATCTGGATGAGAGAATAATGAATTCTACTGAAACGGTGGGTGAATTTATTTTGCTGCCTGCCTCTACCAATACAGTGAATATAATTAGAAATGTCGAATGTCGTTGAGATCCTACCTGTTTACACATTGAACGCAGCTGCATTGCATCCCATGTCTCTTACTAAATACCTCGTGAATCCTATAATGCGTTTGCTTTCTCTTGTATTCACCGTGACAAAAGTGTTCAGGCTTTTGAGTTTGGGTCCGTGCATAAGATGCTAAGAATTTCACGTGAGTAAGTTAGCCGGATGGAGGTTCGGGAGACAGGGACCCAGGATGAGGGGAATAACCCCTACAGACTAGACAGGAGCTGGACTCGGAGGGGTGGAACGAAAATACGCTCCGTTCAGGTCGCCTCTTGTGTTTTCCTTTTATTTATTTCAGGCGCCCTTCAGTTATATCCCTCCCTTCCCTTGTCATCCCCTCCCCCCCAGTACTAAAAAAGAAGACTACCTTTACCCCTTTCTGTGGGACCCCGTCTGGTTTGGGGCAGTGGGGTGTCCACTCCCCATCTTTCTATCCCCTGTTTGTCTATAACCGCTTTAGTCTATGTTGACGGTTTGTGTGTACGTGCGTCACAACGCGATGCAAAGCCCCCCCCCCCCATTGCCTCAAATACAAAATAATATTAAATCTTGTAAACGATATTCGGGAAAAGTTAACAAAAAAATTACAATTTCATTGTCAGGATCGGATATGTAAGTTATAAGTTTCTATTGAATTGAAAACATTCGTGCAGAATGGAGGGGGTCCGGTTATTGAGACGGGCATTGGGATGGCACCCAGAGTCCAGAAACCACGGGGAAGATTGGAAAGCAGGATAGATGGCAGGGCACAGTAACAGCAGAACTTGCAGGTTACGTGTTCACTGCGCAACAGCTGATGTATTTGGTAGCGAGAGAGAAGCGATGCCAAATAGTGCTGACATTAATATTAAATTATCTTCCTCAATACTCTTTGGTTCTTTCGGTAAAGTCACATAGGTATAAAATAAAATAAATCACGTTTCGGGCGCAACACATCATCAGGATGATGGACATTTGTGTTGCGCCCGAAACGTCGTGATTTATTTTATTTTCTACCTACGTGACTTTACGGAAAGAACCAACGAGTATGGATTCCTGCAGTCACGAAAGCTTCAAATCTCTTCCTCAATGTTTTGGCGATTGTGGCCTCTTAACTTTGATATGCCTACCAACTCTCTTACAAACTAAGTAGACTAATTTCCCCTTGAAGCTGGGTGTAACCAGCAGTCACTTTTGAGTCGTCGCTTCCTTGCTTTCTTGCCGGCAAAGGTTTAGTCTGTTCTATAATGCGGTAGTAGTTGCGTTCCTGAAGAATACCGCGTTATGTAAAGATCACGTTAAAATAAATAATACATAATATAGGAGTAAAGCACAGTCCTGCAATAACACGTGTGATGCATATGCATTCCGAAGAAAGACCAAGGCGCGTGGGTAGCATCTAGAAGAATCCAGCAGCATCCCACCTTGTGCTCGCACGATGCAGTTCCATTCATTCGATCGCGTTATATATCCATTTAACGTTATATCCAATTCGCGTTACGAAAACAACACGCGGCGGTATATAGAACAGACTAAAAGCCTGACATGCCAGATTTGTTTAAAAGATAAATAATCGAAACACAAATTAAGGGCGGGCACATAAGTACAACTTACTTTGGTTTCATCAACCTATGTATTTATAAACATTATAAAACATTATAATGAGTGCGAACTAAAGGGGTGCAAGGCTGCAGTAAAGGTGAAGAACCACTTGGTCTAGAGGATGGAGTGGTCATGACAGATTCCTTAATTTCCCGACGTGTTTCATCAGGACCTCACTTTTGAGTCTGACTTGACCTAGAGGAAGCTCGGGATGAGTTCAGATGCCGCTGACTACTGATATTTTTCCATAGATATGGATTTAACTTAGGCGAATATGATTCTAGTGCGGTTTGTGGACTATCACACCAATGCATGGACACTCATAAATAATGCTGACTATGTGGATAACATTTGATTTTAAAACAACTTCTATTCCAAAGTATATTGTGTCTTAATGCAATGCCTAATCGTGTCCTTTCCACGAAATCTCCCATTGCAGAGGCCACGAAACGAAGAGGCCAGTAGTTACTACGACGTAAGAAATTCACACACATGAAGAAATGTGTCCACTCAGGATGACTTGGATCAATGTAATAGGACTATATGTCGATGGACTGTTGAAAATAAGCAATGCCAAATCCAAATGTTAAAGTGTCTTTGCTCAACAAGTGCATCGGTGATGAACTCCATTGGTGGCACTGAGTCAAGTGGTGGCAATTCCGCATTGCTTCGTGTGTATGTTGAGCTTGTTTCGCACCGTACGTAGCCAACCATACTAATCGGATGTGCAGTGGAAGGACAACAAATTAACGCATGAAAAACTGTTCTAAAGAAATGCGTTTTCATTCTAGATTATGTAAAAGTGCATAGCTTCCAGGGGCTTCGGAATAACACCTGCGACACTGGTATAGACCGGGAATGCAAGTGATGATCCTGTAAAGGTCTAGAGCAGTGGTTCTTAACTTGGAGTGCACGGGCCCCCTGGGGGTACGAGATGACCTTTCTGGGGGTGCGAGACATGGCCAGATTTGTTTTAAAGGTAAATAATCAAAACACAAATAAGCACGGGCACATAAGTACAACTTACTTAGGTTTCATCAAACCTATGTATTTATTAACATTATAAAACATTTTAACGAGTGTGAACCAAAGGGGTGCAAGGCTGCAGTAAATGTTAAGAACCACTGGTATATAGGATGGAGTGGCCACGACAGATTCCTTAATCTCTCGACGTGTTTAATCAGGACCTCACTTATGAGTCTGACTTGACCTAGGGGAGGCTCGGGATAAGTTCAGATGCCGCTTACTACTGATATTTTTCCATAGATAGGGATTTAATCAATGCGAATATGATTCCAGTGCGGTGTGTGGACTATCGCACCACTGCATGGACACGCATAAATAATCCTGACTATGTGGATAACATTTGATCTTTAAACAACTTCTATTCCAAAGTATATAGTATCTTAATGCAATGTCTAATCATGTCCTTTCCACGAAATCTCCCATTGCAGAGGCCACGAAGTGAAGAGGCCAGCAGTTACTACGACGTAAGAACTTCACACACAATGAGAAATGTGTTCACTAAGGATGACTTGGAACAATGTAATAGAACTATATTTCGATGGACTGTTGAAAATAAGCAATGCCAAAGCCAAATGTTAAAGTGTCTCTGCTCAGACAAGTTCATCGGTGATGAACCTCATTGCTGGCCCCGAGTCAAGTGGTCCCAATTCCACATTGATTCGTGTGTATGTTGAGCTTATTTCGCACCGTACATAGCCAACCATACTAATCGGATGTGCAGGGGAAGGACAACAAATTAACACGTGAAAAACTATTCTAAAGAAACGAGTTTTCATTCTAGATGATGTAAAAGTTCATAGCTTCCAGGGGCTTCCGAATAACACCTGCGACACTGGTATAGATCGGGAGCGCAAGTGATGAACCTGTAAAGGTCTAGAGCAGTGGTTCTTAACATGGGGTGCATGCACCCCCTGGGGGGTACGAGATGCCTTTTCTGTGGGTGCAAGACATGGCCAGATTTGCTTAGAAGGTAAATAAAATACAAATTAAGCACGGGCACATAAGTACAACTTACTTTGGTATCATCAAACCTATGTATTTGTAGTGGATTCAACTGAGTCGCAGACATACTCCTTGGAGGCAACACATTTATTGATACCAACACAATGGGGTAACTGCCCTTTTACCAAATAACACCCTATGGTGGACGACCACCAGGCTAATTACACTGGGAGTGGCTACAACGGACAGGACCCTGGCTTGGGTCCAGTTCCACGTGTTGGTGAATCTTCTCGGACGTAGAACGTAGAGCGTAGATCTTCAGGATAACAACAGCAACACTGAATCCCGGTCCCTCTGGGGACCCGGTTTATATACTCCCTGGTCGTGGCTGGCTCCGCTCTTGGCCACGGCCACCTCGAATCCTCTAGCAGGATCTCGCCCCGACACGTGACCACCCCTAGCCCCCACTTGGGGCACCTGTGTAGACTTTACCCGTCACGTGCCTTCTAGGGTCAACCAGAGTGCCATGGCCTACATTAACCCCGTTCATGGCCGGCACTCTCACACCCCCCTCCTATAGGGGACAGCACTGCACTGGTGCCACTCGGCGCTCACTATCAGCGCTCACCGAGCCCCTATAGGGCTGGTACTACACCCATGTATACGGGGTGTCCGCGATGGAATTACATCGCACGCCGTGCCTCGCTAGAGCTGGCATTACCCAGTGACATCCACGATGTCGCTACATCCGTGACGTCTGCAATGTCACAACATATGTATTAACATAAAACATTTTAACGAGTGCGATCCAAACGGATGCAAGGCTACAGTCAAGGTTAAGAACCACTGGTCTATAGGATGGAGTGGCCACGACAGATTCCTTAATCTCCCGACGTGTTTAATCAAGACCTCACTTTTGAGTCTGACTTGACCTAGGGGAGGCTTGGGATAAGTTCAGATGCCACTTACTACTGATACTTTTCCATAGATAGTGACTTAACCTAGGCGAATATTATTGCAGTGCGGTGTGTGGACTAGCGCACCACTGCATGGACACGCAAAAATAATGCTCACTGCATTGATAGCATTTGATTTGAAAACAACTTCTGTTGCAAAGTCCATTGGCTCTGAATTCAACACCTAATTGTGTCTTTTCCGTAAAATCTCCCATTGCAGGTGCCACGAAATGACGGGGCCAGTAGTCTCTACGAGGTAAGAGCTTCACACACAAAGAGAAATGTGTTCACTGAGGATGACTTGGAACAATGTAATATAACTATATTTAGATGGACTGTTGAAAATAAGCGCTGCCAAATGTTAAAGTGTCTCTGCTCAGACAAGACCATTGGCTCGGTGATGATCTCCCTTGGTGGCCCTGAGTCAAGTGGTGCCAATTGTACGTTGCTTTGTAGGTATGTTGAACTTCTTTCGCGTACCGTACGAAGCCAACCGTGCTAATCGGAGGTGCGAGGGGAAGGACAACAAACTGAACACAACAACAAGCATTCTTAATTAAATGAGTTTCCAATCTAGATGATGATTTAAAACTGACATAGCTCCCAGTAGCTTCCTAATATCGTAAGAAATAACACGTTCCAGACAGGTGCAGAAGCAGACATCTTTTTAGGTGTTCTGTATATGTGTTTTTTGTGTTTTAAATGTATTTACTTCATGAAATTGGCATAAGTAACCATACAAATAGACACATTATATCCTACAGTATAACGTATACGTGATGTATATACGTGCAGCATTTTAATTGTTTAAGTTGTAGTTAGTGTATAATGTACTGTATATAATATTTGACATTGAAATCAAGCGTAGCGAGACTGGTGCATGGCCTTTGGAGCGGTTTAACCAGATCGGCCTGGGACCGCCAGATATTGTTGCATGTTGGAAGCCGGATAATGGATGATTTACTATATTTTATCGATGTCCCACTAAATGAGAAGGCACGTGCGTTTTTTTTCATTATTTTGCAGCTTCTGAAGCTGCCTGCGGAGAACGCCTATGACAAATTAAGCCACCCCACGCACACGAAAGCCTGAAACTGACCACCTCGGAACCACACGCGCGCGCTTACAATGACGGCACGCAGCACTCGCATGGAATTCAAAACTCAAGAGCACGGGGTTCAATCAGAGGTTACTGTGAGGGTTGCTAATGTTTTATTTGGGAGAGAGAAGGGTTCGGATCCATTTATCTCCCATGCAATTTCCTCAATATTTTGTATAGGGCACCAATGCGGATTTTTTTTTTCAAACGTTCTTTAACGGTAACGGAAAGAAGTACAATAACTGGATCCAGAATACAATGAATCTTTACAAGATTTGGAATGTATTAATGATGCCTTGATTCGTTATTGACACACTATGCACAAGGACGTGACCCAAGTGTGGCGGATAACAATTTCTTGACAACCAAGCACAGCCAACTCTTGAAAACTCTCGGCAACAGTGACAGCAGCACACATTTGTGTAACCTCGTAGTTCACCAGCTTAACACATTGGCCAGACGTGTCGACAATTACAAAATACCGCGGCGACAAAACAGGTGAAGGACACCGCGACGACTATTCACATCAACCACGAGACACAGTCCACTCGAGGCAATGCAGCACAAGCCCAGGGTACATAACGGCAATCTCAGGGCTTGGTCGGCGCTATCAACAACGCTCTGTGCAACTCAACGCTGCGGCATTCCCGGGAATTGGTCGGCGCTCTCAACAACGCTCTGAGCAACTCAACGCTGCGGCATTCCCGGGAATTGGTCGGCGCTCTCAACAACGCTCTGAGCAACTCAACGCAGCGGCATTCCCGGGAAATGGTTGACGCTCTCAACAACGCTCTGAGCAACTCAACGCAGCGGCATTCCTGGGAATTGGTCGGCGCTATCAACAACGCTCTGAGCAACTCAACGCAATGACATTCCTGGGAATTGGTTAGCGCTCTCAACAATGCTCTGAGCAACTCAACGCAATGACATTCCCGGGAATTGGTCCGCGCTATCAACAACGCTCTGAGCAACTCAACGCAATGACATTCCTGGGAATTGGTCGACGCTCTCAACACTGCTCTGAGCAACTCAACGCAGCGGTATTCCCGATAGTTGGTCGGTGCTCTCAACAACGCTCTGAGCAACTCAACGCAGCGGCAGTCTCAGTCACTGACTCGCCCCCGCACGTCAGCATCGTACACAGCGACTCTGCGACGCGCCAGTAAGCCACGGGCACCGGCTTAGCCTCGTAACAGCAGCAACGCTCGCGACGACCCAACCGCAACAACAATCCCGGTCACATGCCGCCCGCACGACAGCAACGCCCCACAGCAGCCAGCCCCCCCGCCCGGCCCCCCCCCCGTGGGAGCCCCTTGACCGCGGTGAATGCCGACCGGTCCCGGTGAACGCCAAACACACCGCCGCTTAATTTAGTCCACAAACTTTGTCCCGCCTTCGCAGCCTCTGTCAATGAACTTGGCTCGTCCAGCGCCCCATAACTCAATTTATATCCATAATGGAGGTTTTTTTTTTGGGGTTAGATCGCGTAAGTATAGAAATGTGTCGTTAAAACCCGCCACCACCCGACACAGCCAACTAGTAAGGGTTGTCGCGTAAACAGAACGTGGGCAATTCGTCACTAGTACAGCACTAGTGTATAGTATAGTGTATAGTAGTGTAGTGTATAGTGTAGTATACTAGTACAGCACACCGGTGTGCTGGAGAGTCAAGCCACAACATTGACAATCATGTATAATGTACGTATATCGTTCACACAGCAACGCATACATTTATTTCTACGCATTTAAAAAGCTTCCCTTTACTTGAAACGTTTCTGCATATTTCTTGAAATTAAATGTTTGCTGTCTACCTAGCAGAAGGTTGAACGATGTTATATACTGAACATATTTTTAAATGTCCTCATGTGTGCAACCCAGTTATGTGTGCAGTTTAGTTGTGTGTGTAGGTAAAAAAAACACTTAGGGGCCGTCCATAAATGACATCACGCGATTTTGGACGATTTTTTACACCCCCCCCCCCCCCAGTCACACGACGTCACAAAAAGTCAGACCCCCCCCCTCAAATATGACGTCACAAAGCTCTGCCCCCGCCCCCCCCAAAAAAATAAAACACGCTTCAAATCGCATTAAACTATTGTCATTGTAGTGCGTATTTAATGTGGCACTGCACTCTGATGTAGGAGAACATGTATTAAAAGTATATTTAATTAAGGAGAACGTGTTTATATTTATTTAAAGTTGCGCATTTTGATGTGACGTCACATTCATCAACCCCCCCCCCTCCCTCGTCACACATCGTCACAAATGTCTGACACACCGCCCCCCAGGTGCATGACGTCATTAATGGCGGCCCCTTAGCTAGACTTAGCTCTGAGCAGGTACGCGGCAGAGGCAGAACGGTGTCGTTTGAAATTCAAAGCGTCGAAGTGTCTCTCGAAATAAACGTGCAAAAGTGAACAATCGCCATACGCTGTCTTTATTATCCGACTCTTAAGCAAAGCCATGATGCACAACACGCAGAAACATGCAATGCTGCATACATTGGCTCGCATGTACAAACGTTACAAGCACTTGGCAATACAAATCGAATAGAAACACAGTGAAGCACACGAGTAGTGATTTGAAGCTTTCGTGACTGCAGGAATCCATACTCTTTGGTTCTTTCGGTAAAGTCACGTAGGCAGAAAATAAAATCACGACGTTTCGGGCGCCCGAAACGTCGTGATTTATTTTATACATCACATTGCTATCCGAAATATTGGGGGGGGGGGGGGGGGGTTGGGGTATTTTACTCCCATTAACTGCTCACGCCCTTACCTCGTAACCTCTGCAACCCCGGCTCAACCCCTGGGCGACAGCATTAGTCCACACCATGACAGTCACATTTATCCGGCCATGGCGACACACAAAGATCCCCCGTAAAGCCTGTAACAGACTGTAGGGGCAAGTGCTGTTAGCGAGTAGCAGCTATGCAGGTCGTCACGGCACACGAGGGTGTGAGTGGCCAGCACCACGCCAGGCCGCCTAGTGGCGATGTTTACACATCGCACCAGGTAATCATTTGAGGCCGAGTCGCCCTAGGGGAGACCCATGACCGTTTCAGATAATCCGTCACTGGTGTTGGCCATGAGCGGGAATCGAACTCTGGAAGCTGGGTTCTTAACGCAGCACACGAACTTGCTACGCTACCGCTCCCCACTCCCACACACACAGACACGCACACCTGTAATTAAGCGTTGCTCTTACAACCCGTCGGAAAATACCGTGTTACATTGTTCACTTGCGTGCGCTTTCGGATTGTATCCGCACACAGCATTCAAGTACCATCATCCACCTTCAAGAGACAGCTCACGGCTCTCAGCCGTTCAAGCACTCACCCGTCTAGGCCTTCAATCTTCCAGGCACTCGCCCGTTCAGTGCCTCGTCCGTTCAGGCACTTAGGGGCCGTCCATAAATGACGTCACACACCTGGGGGGGGCAGAGCTTTGTGACGTCATGTTTGAGGGGGGCTCTGACTTTTTGTGACGCCGTGTGACGAGGGAGGGGGGTCAAAATTCGTCCAAAATCGCGTGACATAATTTATGGACGGCCCCTTATCTGTGGAGGTCAGGGGTCGGCAACCAAAAAACTATAGCATTTTTTTCTAATTCGATGTAAAAGCAGCTCAATGCACTGTGTGGTGAATAGGAGACGTTGGTGGTCCTTCATAAATAACGTCATGAAGCTGCAGGTCCTTAGAGCGTTGCAGGCACATCAGGAGCCGCTTGTTGTCGACCCGTTCAGGCATTCACCAGTTCAGGCACTCACTTGTTCAGGCCGATGTACCAGGGACTTTCCTTAACCCGTTCAGACACTCACTAGTTCAAGTCATCACCGATTCAGGCTCTGTGAACCGGGGACTTTCCTTCACCCGTTCAGGCACTCACTAGTTCAGGTCCTCACCGGTTCAGGCTAATGTCCTTGGGACTTTGAGCTGTGGCTCACCAGTTGCCGAGTTCTTGATCGAACAAAGAGTCCGATTTAACAGAAATAAATGCACGTTTGTGAATATTTTGTTTATATCTTTTTTTTATTTGTTAGAATATCCCGAAGATTCACTCCTCTTGTGGGAAGCTTCTTTCAGGAACCAAATCAGTTCTTTGAGAGGCTCCGAGCACGTGGACAGAGCACCGACTAAACATCAGTAGCGATACAATCCCAAAACAAATCGTGTATAGCTATAGAGCAGAAATTAATAAAGCCCTTATAATAATTCTAACGTAAAGAAAGAAAACAATCTTAAGAAAAAAATTCCACGAAAATATTTCCCAGAATTGAATTCCCCCGCCCCCCCCCCCCCCCCAAAAAATACATAACACTTCAAAAATTGTGAAAAATGTTAGTTTAATTTTTTTTCTATATATATAAAAATGCTCTGCTGAAGTTAGAAATTCAATTTTGTATAAGCATAACCTGGGGGAAAACTGCTGCGCCCCTAAAATATTAAAAAGAAGCCACTTTCAAAATGTGAAACAACTTGTTTTGTGCATCACCGGTGGTAAAATGCAACGGTCAACGTCAAAAATATACAGCATTAGAAACGCACTTCGCAATACAACATTTACATCTCTTTAAGACCCAACAATCCAGCGTAGAACACTGCAAAAAATATGCAAAACGATGACAAAATTTGACGTAATCACTCGGGAACGTGCCTGACCACCTCGGAAGCTCATGACGATTTGAGATGCGTGAACCACAGTGCTGTTAGCGATCACCTATTGCAAACACGCCACAGCGCTGGGGAAGAGGTAGTGTGGCCACAGCAACCACGCGTCCCTAGCTACCCATGCTCATGTTATCTTATCTTATTCTATACTAGCTTTACTACCCGGCTTCGCCCGGGACTTGGATTCACCACGCCCGGCCGCCTTTGTCTCCCCAGTGGCGATGTTCACACACCACACCAGTTACTCGTTTGAGGCTGAGTCGACCTAGGGGAGGCCCAGGACCGGTTCAAATAATCGTCACCGGTGGTGGCCGTGAGCGGGAATCGAACTCGGGTCGCCGGGTTCGTAGCGCAGCGCGCTAACCACTACACTACCGCTCCCCCCACACACGCGCGCGCGTCCATAGGAAGACATAAACGCGCTTGCTGCAGACACAACTTTCAGGCTGCGTACGGCAGTAAACGACTGAAATAATAAAGCAACGCTGCGCGAAGAACGCCTTAGACCTGCAACACATTTGTTTGGCACTTTACTCGCGGAGGGTTGGGTGGGGGGGTGTGTGACGTCAGCAGGCACACTGCGTGACGCTTCCGCATGCGCGGGTGACATGACAGATGTGACGTCACAGCTCACTTGCCGTGCAAAATATATGCATTATTGCGCCCCCCCCCCCCCCCCCCCCATTTTTCTTTTCAAAAGTCTATTTGTGCATGGTGTACAGTCTGGAAAGTACCCACATGGCAAATTTCAAGTTTGTTGCATGTCGGGAAGTATGCTAAACATTTCGAACAGACACACATATTCACAAATTTCCCTTTTATATATAGATTGATGATTTATAGCGTGCAACTTCGCTCAAGGCGCAGTGCAAGGGCAGAGCAGTCAGCGACCGTAACAGAGGCGGCACACGTGGTGGCTCACGAAAGGTGCGATATGGGAGGAACGCGACGGAGTGGAGGGGGCGAGGAAGGGGATTGGGCACTGGAGGAAGAGTTGAGGTTTGGAGAGAGGCACGGAAGGTAGGTTAAGGAGAGCGACTGCTTAATGTACAGGGTAAGTCGATTCCAGTGGTCGGGTGTACACAATGTACCAGATACTCGTCGTACAGGGTCGTGGCGATATAGGGGAGGCCCATAACCCAATGTTGCAATGTCACTGATGTGCATCACAGCACCGTTATCTTTTCACCATGCCACCACTCCACGCACTACACAGTGTTGTACACACAAAGACCCTTCATTTCACCCGATAGATTACAGTAGCAAGTTCTGTGCAGTGAGAGCCTGCACCTCCGATTTGCACGGTTGGCTGCGTACGATGAAAAGTTCAATATACATGCATACGTCCCATGTAGCATGCACAGGCTGTCGGAGAAAGTGCTGTCAGCTACCACACAAAGACAAAGAACCCCCTTAAAGCAGTTACCGAGTGCCACCGATGAAGGCTGGCACAGCACACGGGGGGGGGGGAGTGGGAGGTAGGTGGCCAGTACCACCATGCCCTGCCGCCTTTATCTCCCCAGTGCTGATGTTTACTACACACTGCACAGGGTACTCATTTAAGGATGAGTTGACCTATGGGAGGCCCCAGAGCAGTTGAAATATTCACCACTGTTATTGATCATAATGCAGTGCGCTAAGCGCCACTGCTTCCCATAAGCACACAGAGACATATACAGTATATACCCAAAGACAGAATACAAAGATCTCCCTGTGTAGAAAACTCAGGCTGTTGGGACAAGTGCTTTCAGCCAGCACACAAACACATACACAGTAGACTCTCGATTATCCACATGCGGTTTATCCGATTTGCGGATTAACCGTGCATCCGAGATTTTGACGTAAATTAATAACTCATGGACTTTCCCTTCAGCCCACATTAATAATAATATAAAAACAGTTATACATTGTTATTCTTGGACATGTGTACTGCAAGTCACGTGCTTAAACTGAACAAATACAGACGACCCCTGCACCTACGGACCTAATCGGTTCATGGACGACCGGTCGCAAGTCGAGAGCCGTCGTGAGTCGAATCCATATCCCGCACAAAACGCAATGTTATACATTGGGGTTCCATTCCTGGAAACCCGTTATATGCTGTAACAATACCCAAAATTGACCGCGAAAATAAATGAAAATAACCCTAAAAAACATTGTAACAACATCACTTTTACAAACATTTAAGTAAAAACAAACACATTTCAAACTTCGTAAGTACTTTTCTGCATGTGCACCAAATTTCCTCTTCTCAGACGTAGTAGCCAAAGGTTAAAATATTTCGAAATCTGAAGAAAATTTAAAAAGAGAGACGCCACTGTGGTCACTCTAGGCCAGGGGTGGGGAACGTCCAGCCCGCGGGCCATATATTGGTCTGCCTGCCCTGCCAAGGCAACCGCAGGAGGGACTCGAAATTCAATAAATCTAGGAGCAATCCTGGAAAAGCAGCTGCGAGTAGCAACATCATCAATACCAGCTAACATCACACGCCTCACCAAAGCAGTTCCAGCCATCACATTAGGGATGAGTTAATTAAATGTTTGACCAAATATAACAGTCTAATTTTTAAGTTGATAATTTTGTATTGCCTGCGAATGATGTTATAAATATCCAAATGGCCCTTGGCAGAAAAGAGCTTCCCCACCCCTGCTCTAGGCGCAGCTGCAGACTTACGGGCTACACTGTGCATACACATACGGCGGAAGAGCAAAGCAGCGTCATCAGGCGACGAGTCTGCGCATGACATGCGCGCTATACACTACACTACTTATACACGACACGAGGAGTCCACGCATAACGTGCACAGGCTCGTTGCCAATCGACTCGGCGTCGTCGCAGTCGTTAGGCGGGCGTCGATACGAGTTTTGGTTGTTACTGTGGGGGTCTCACTGACTATAACAAAGGCTGGGTGGGGTGCGGGGTCGCAAGTCGAGCCGTCATGAGTCGGGGGTCACCTGTAGGCAGAGGTCGCAACCGGGTACCCGATACCCGTACCCTACCCGATACCCGGCTACCCGTACCTGGCCGGGTATGGGTACCCGTTTGCGACCCTGGTGCGGCCGGGTACGGGTAGGCCGTGAGTCACCGGTGAGTAACAATTTGTCACTCATTTCGGGTAGGGTACGGGTAGCGTACGGGTACCTGTACCTGGCCGGGTACGGGTACCCGTTTGCGACCCTGGTGCGGCCGGGTACAGGTACGGGTAAAGAATCAAAACCCTCTGCCTGTAGGCGCTCCGGTTAATCCGAAATCCACGCGATTGCCTCTACGGTACAGTCGTTGCATATGTCTACGACAGCGGGCAGGGCTTGATTGATGTTGATTGGCTGTGGCTCTGCTGTCCACTCAGTGGGCCGAGTATTCTGCTTTGCGGGAGCAGAAAAGTGTTTTCGCTTGAGCACGTGCATCGATCGGTCGATTCTTTACTACAAATTTTAGTTTTGTTCGTAAAAAAACTAAATTTTATTAGCTTCAACATAATTTATACCACTATATTAGTGGGTTTTGGCATAGAGATCCGCGGAAAAAAGTTATATTGTTGGATTATCCGCGATTTTGAATTCTCGTGGCCGTCCTCCCCGTCATTAGCATGGATAATCGAGAGTCTGCTGTACATACAAAGACAAAGACCCTCCACGCACGCGCACGCACACACGCACGCACACGCACGCGCTTGGTCAGCGTCCGTGCACGATGTGAGCATAGATGGTGCTGTCCTGCTGGACTTGAGGCTGATGCTGGGCCGGTCTCTGACCGCGATGCAGGGCTGTCCGGTCCAACTCGGCGTAAGTGATTTCTGTCTCCACGGTCTGCGCACTCACGCACACACACACAAAGACAAAGTTACCCCGTGTAGCCTGAATAGACTTTTGTGGCAAGTGATTTTAACCAGCAAACATAAAGCCAAAGTTAACCCGTATAGCCTTAACAGACGTTTGCAGAAAATGCTGTTAACCAGCAAACAAAAAGACGAAGCTACCCCGTATAGGCTTAATAGACTTTTGGGGCAAGTGTTGTTAACCAGAAAACGAAAAGTTACCTTGCATGGCCTTAACTGCAGTACCGGGAAATGGAATCGAACTGGCGACGCTATATCGCATGGGCTCTATCTTGAGTTATCGCCACAGAATCAAAATATTGCTGGTAGGAACCTCCTGGTTACACCAGCCCACAGGGGATTATTGTGTCCGTCGTGCAGGGAGGGGCTGGGTGGAGAGGGAGGGGCTGGATGGGGAGGGGAGGGTGGGGAGGGGCTGGGTGGGGAGGGTGGGGCTGTGTGGGGAGGGGAGGGTGGGGAGGGGCTGGGTAGGGAGGGTGGGGAGGGGCTGGGTGGGGAGGGTGGGAAGGGGCTGGGTGGGGAGGGTGTGGCTGGGTGGGGGGTGGGAGGGGTGGGGCTGGTCACTCCGTGGTGCCCTTATAAAACTCAATGTTTAACCTACTCACGCCGGCTTGTGCCCGCCCTCACAGTCGGCCATATTTGGGGAATACACCACGCCGCCGTTGACCCTGCAGGCCATTGACCGAGCAACCCAACGTTCCTACCAGCTCCCTCCGCAGGAATGTGTTTATTAAAGCTCTTTTTTCACAGATGTCCAGTAGGGACACAGGGTCAGAAAGTTACAACAATACAAAAAAACACGATAGGAGTGCAGAGTAAAAATACACTTTTTATTTTACCAGGTAAGGCCCACTGAGCTATTCACTTCTTTTTCAGAAGCGACCTGGCCACAAATGATAGCTCAACGAAGTGACTCATCATCATCACGTGGAAATGTATCGCATCAGCCAAATACAACTAAACCCGTGACGTTGATTCTAAATGTGGAGGGAAAAACTGGAGGGCCCGGAGAAAAATCCACGCGACTACGGGGACAAAGAGACACGCAAACTCCCAATATAATAAAGCAGGAGTCAGGGTCGCAATCCAACCCACGACCTCCTGCATACCAGGCGAGGTAGTCAACATCTCCTAGCCACCGCTGCGGAGTTGGCAAATGTGCTCACATGGTGATGAAAGGCGTCGCTACGAATCTATCGTTACTTATTTGTTTGTGAGCGACTCGCTCACCTTTTCTCTAATGTGCACCCCTGTCGCTTTATTCATATAGTTCGTTAAAACCTGCCGACCCCCCCCCCCCCCCCCATCCTTACTGGACACCTGCGAACGACATAAAGAGCTTCGCAGCTCATCGGATTTCCTCTCCTTGCGGTCTAAACCATGTAAAGGATTCTCGCTTCCGATGCTCTGCAGTTGCGTGCCGAGCAGGGTGCGCGACTGGACCCGTAGCTTCGGGGTGAGAGGCTCTTCTCTGCCACGACCCACCAGCTTCTTGGCGCAAGAGGCCGCGGGCGTCACGACGTCATAACAGTGAGCGCTAAGCGATGCCGCTGCCAGCGGCTTGTTCTGAAAGACAAGACGGCAGCGGGAGGGGGGGGGGGAAGCACGTGGGGGGGAAGCACGTGGGGGGGGGGGAGCACGTGGGGGGGGGGGTAAGCACGTGGGGGGGGGGGAGCACGTGGGGGGGGGGGAAGGACACGGGGGGGGGGGTGAGGCGGGGGGGCAAGGAGAAAAGCAACAGATAAAGCATTTGGCAGAAGCAGGGACGTTTCAAAGCAACGTTTACACTTTGTGCGAAGGGTTAATAGGCTCGGTAAGGGCGCAGCCCTGCAGTCGCTTGCTCACGCCACCGGCCGGCAGATGGGGCTTTCGCTAGGCAGCAGCGGTGAGCTGTAGGGAGCCCTCTCCGAGGGAAATTTTGGCCTACTCTTCCACTCCTTGGCCAGACCGTCTTGGAAGAAGTGCCGGGTTACGCCACACGCATGCTGTGCCCCCACCCCACACGACCTGCCGATCGGCCGACCGCGGTGAGGTCACTCATCATGTTGGGTGGGCAAAGACGGTGACCGATTTGAGAAAGTTTCACCCCCTCCCTCCCCTTGTTTTTTCAGCTGCTGCACCGGGGAGGTCAAATCGAACCGGCGACCTCTGGATTGCAAGTCGAGTGCATTTGTGCGTGCGATTCGTTGTGGGAGGCGGTGGTGGAGCGGTTAGCGCTATGCTGCGCTACGACCACGGTGACCAAGTTCGATTTCTGCTCAAGGCCAACACCGGTGACGATTATCTGGAGCAGTCCTGGGCCTCCCCTAGAACTACTCAGCCTCAAATTAGTACTTGGTGTGATGTGTAAACATCGCCACTGGGGAGACAAAGGCAGCTGGGTGCTGGCCACCCATCTCCTTGTGTGTCATGCCAGCCTTCATAGGTGCTCACTAACAACACTTGCCCCTACAGTCTGTTCGGGCTAAATGGGGGATCTTTGTCTTTGTAATTCATATGGAGGAAGCTCGTGAAGGGCGCTACTGGGCAGTTGGAGGCAGTCTTCCTCCAACAACAACGGAGGGCGGAGGAGCGACGCTCACAACAACGAGTGGAGCACCGTGCGGCTAAAATGCAGCGATTTGGTTCCGTAGGGGGGGTACAGCTGGTGCATCTACCAGTCATCACGGTCAGCTAACCCATGGCATCTGGGTCGGTCCCTTGACTTTCTGCCAGCAGCGAGCCTTCGCAATTCACGTGGCCTCAAAGTGCACCTAGCCTGGCACAAACATTGTGGTGACGTCACTGTCATTTAGTGGCGAATGGTGGTTATTAGTATTGATTCATATGTTCGAATCAAAACAATTATTAGAAGCACTTTGTCAATCCACTTCTGGATGAAGGCCACCTTCTCCCTCGCTGTTTTCGGCACGCTTGGCTGTTTGACTGGACTTCACCTCGCTGGTCTAAACTTAAACAGTTTATTTTTTTTATTTTACCCACTGAGCTATTAGCTTCTTTATCAAAGCGACTTGGCTATCGCAAATAATAGCTCAACTAAGTGGCGTATCATCGTGTGGAAATTTATAGTAGCAGCCAAATACTCTCAATGCGTGACGTCGATTCTAAATGAGGAGGGGAAAAAACGGAGGACCCGGAGATAAAAATCCACGCGACCACGGGAAGAGAGAGAGACACGCAAACTCCAAATATACAGCAGCAGGCGTCAGGGTTCGGGATCGAACCCACGACCTCCTGTAGACCTGGCAAGGTAGTTAACATCTCCTAGCCACCGTGATGATGATGAGAGAGCGAGAGACACGCAAACTCCAAATATACAGCAGGCGTCAGGGTTGGGACCGAACCCACGACCTCCTGTATACCAGGCGAGGTAGTTAACATCTCCTAGCCACCGTGAGATCTAGCCCACGACCTCCTGTGTACCAGGCGAGGTAGTTAACATCTCCTAGCCAACGTTGGATCGAGCCCACGACCTCCTGTAGACCAGGCGAGGTAGTTAACATCTTGCCTCCCCCCATGGCGCTTCGGTGAAGGGGTTAGGAAACGCGGAGGACCGGTTTGGATACCAGTCGCCACGACAACATTAGCCGTGTTCGGAAATCGACCTGACGCTTCCATGCTCCCCACCTTCACCAACCCCACACTGTTCAACGTGGCGAAGTAAGGACAAACAGACCTCACCCCACCCCCTCAACGAACCACACAGCACAGGGCGGGGAGGGGGCCCCCTCATCCAGCAGTGGATTGGCAACAGAGGCGTCACGCGTGCCTGCGCACGACCGTGCCCATACGCTGGGTTGCGTTCGGCTCAAGCGGAATCTCCCGCGATGGCTCAGCGAGAAAAACTCACCTCCGTGTTTCGCGATAATTGGACGTCGCCCAGCCTGCAGGCGAAAACAAAGAGGGGGTGGGCACACAATATGCAGGAAAGAAGCGTGCATGTTAGCGTCCAGTCGAGTGAAGGCCCTCAAATGTATTTGAACGAGTTAGGCGGTACATCGGCAATGCACGGTATATAAAATAATCATTAATAAAAAAGATGAGAATACATTGGAAATAATATATAATCTAATAAATATAACGAGATTTCGTGCAATATTAATTTCTTTTCCCATGCCTCGCAACCCCCGGTCACGGAATCTTGCGGGGTTGTTGGTGGTGCGCGCCGAAATCGGTTCCCGCGACGCCGTAGCCGGTCGGAAGACGGAATCGTTCATAACGAGCGGCTCCAACACGCGAAGCTTTGCACACGGCCTGTTGCTGCATAGCAACCCCCGCCACGATGGCCATTGACTGGCTCAGTGTTCCCAAGGGGGGAAAATTTGTTCACGTGCCCTACACTTGGTCGGGACGGTTCCTCGATTCAACGGGACCCCAAATAAACGGTCAATGTTGACCTCTCTTTTTTTTTTACACGCTTTAATTTAACTCACTCTGTCTGTTGTTGTTGTTGTTGTCGTTGTTGTTGTCGTTGTTGTATCCTCAAATCTTGTAACTCAATTTGAACCCACTTCCCAATGTGGTATCGACTGCAAACTTGGTATACTTATATCATACTGATGACAATACTATATTCTATCATAAAAAATACATATTTTTAAACATTCGTTTTCATATGTTATGTTTCGGCTTGGGTATAATTGTCCACGGTCAACTGACGTTGGCTGTAATTGACAACGGTCCCTTACGTTGTGGCAAGCTTCGGGGCCACTTCCTGGAGTCGTGGAGTTCTTCCATTACTAGTAGATTTCATAAAAATGTCTTAAATTGTTTTTGAATATTACTTATTTTAACTAGTCTCAGTAGACCGAATTGCGTCAAACTTGGCGACAGGAGTCAAAAGACCGATTTTAAATTTGTTTTTACTGTTTTATGAGGAGCGGGTGTGTAATGCTGCACAACGTGTGCCCCCAATGCGTCCACTTCTATTGACATCACGGTTTGCTCAACCCAGGCCCCCAAGAGAGGCCAAGCATTCGTGCTCACCCATTCGCGCTCTTCCTCATCCTCTTCTTCATGATGACACAGACCCCGACGGCGATGCCCATGACGATGATCAGCACTCCAAGTCCGACCCCTATCCAAACGAGAGATCCTGGTCCACCGTTTACTCTGGAACCTGTGCCTGCAGTGGGGAAAAGAGGCACCACGGTTGGCTAGGTAGACGTCAACTAACCTCGCCTGGAATACAGGAGGTTGTGGGCTCGATCCCGGCCCTGACGCCTGTTGTTATATTTGGAGTTAGCATGTCTCTCTCTCCCCGTGGTAGCGTGGATTTTTTCTCCGGGACCTCCGGTTTTTCCCTCCACATTTAGAAACGTGCATTCAGATTATTTAGATTGTTTTACTGCTATAAATTTCAACATGAAATCCTGATGATACTTTACCTGTATATTTGGAGTTTGCGTGTCTCTCTCTCTCCGTGGTCATATGGATTTTTTTCTCAGGGTCCTCCGGTTTATCCCTCCACATTGAGAATCAGCATCTAGCGTTGATATGATTTGGCTGCTATAAATTTCCACATGACGATGATGAGCTACTTCGTTGAGCTATTATTCGTGGCCAGGACGCTTCTGACATAGAGCTGTGTAGCTAAGTGGGGCCTTACACGTGGTAAAATAAACAAGTACGTTTGTAATAGTGAGTTACCTACATAATGGTAAGTATCAGACTTCATCGCGACTCCACTTGAAGAGATCGGGCTTGAGGATGGGAGTCTTGATTGCGATTCCGGTGCCGAAGCACACTCAGATACAAGCAGGAGATTGACAACGTGGAGTTCCCAATTAAATCGAATCCAAATTTTAATCATTCAATCGCTGGATGTCCGCGACTCGCCAAGTGAACGAGTTCCCAGTGACATCATGGGACCTCCTTTGCCAGTACCAAAATATGAGAATAGGTTTTCCCCTTTTTTCTGGCAACAAAACAGGTGTTAAAATGTTAAAACGCCAAACTGAAACCTTTTTACAAGGAATCATGTCTGTATTAACCACCATGGTTGTGGTCAGAATGCAAAAAAAAACATACTCTGATAATTTATGCTTTGTCTTTTAAACTGATTGGTCCACACCAGAGACAGCTTTCTTTTGAGCCTCGTCTCAAACGGTGTTAGACCAGTTACCTGGCATGGTGGTTGGCACGGTGGTGGGCTGAGCGGGCGCATAGGTGATGTTGACGTCGATGTCGCCAAAGTCCGTGCCCACGTCGTTTACAGCAATGCACCGGTACATCCCGGAGTTACTCACAGCACGATCTAGAGTCAGCGTGCTGTGGTCAGAGCCATTCATATGTGTACCATTCCTGCAAAACACAACAGAAGCGATAACATCAGAAACACCTTTTTTGTAAAAATTCTGCTCAATCCCCCCCCCCCCCTCCTCCACGCCCACACAGGTTTACCCCATATGAATGTTTTAACGTATTTTATATATGTTACGTATGTTATGTATGTACTTGTATGTTACGTATGTTATGTATGCATTATGTTGTACGTATGTTATGTATGTTGTTACGTATGTTAGTATGTATGTTACATGTTATGTATGTTGTTATGTATGTTCTTCTTGGTTCTTTCGGACGCTGTCTTTCCGACAGACATGTTCTTCACCTGAGGACGGCTGCTTGCGTTGTGGCCGTAACGTCGTGAGAATTGTATTATATTATGTTTTATTTTTATTATTTTATTATTTCCCTTCTACGTGACTTTACCGAAAAAACCAAGAAGATGAATCCCTGCAGTAACGAAAGCTTTAAATCGAAAGTTATGTATGTTGTCACGTATGTTATGTATGTTGTCACGTATGTTATGTATGTTGTCACGTATGTTATGTATACATGTTGAACTTCTTTCCCACCGTACGTAGCCAATCGAAGGTGCGAAGAAGGTCAACAAACTCCGGCGTCGCGGCGTGAGATGAAGAAGCCGTTCGCAAATCTCACGGAGCAGTTTCAGCACCCCCCCCCCCACCCCCATCGCGTGAGAGAACGATCCGCGGAAGTGGACGTCGGAGAGCTACCTCCAAGATTCCTTCGAACGACCTCTGGGCGCTCACGCAGTCAGGGGCGCAGCACTTCCCCCAGCCGCCGTGCCACTTGGGATGCAACGTTCGTAGCACGTGACGGTGGAACAGACACATTATTTTGATTCTCAGGAGCTGGAATTTATCCAAAATAAATTTCACAAGCAATATCATTTTAATAATAAAATTTTTGGGTTTCATTGCGTAGGTGTGAATGTGTCGTTAAACGTGCCACCACCACCTGACACAGCCAATTTAGTAAGGGTTTGTCACGTGATCAAAACGTGGCAATTAATTACGAAAATTAAAACTTTTTATTTTACCAGGTAAGGCCCCACTGAGCTTATGTTGCTCTTTTTCACGAGCAACCCGGCTATCAAAAATGATAGCCTGACTAAGTGGCTTATCATCATCATCACCACGTGGAAATTTATAGCAGCCAAATGACTTTAAACACGTGATGTTGATTCTAAACGTGGAAGTAAAAACCGGAGGACTCGGAGAGAAATCCACGCGACCACGGGAAACGAGAGAACACACAAACTCCAAGTACACAGCAGGCGTCAAGAGTTGGGATCAAACCCAGACCTTCTGTATACCAGGCGAGGTAGTTAACATCTCCAAGCCACTGTATCAGATCGCATCGTGAGAAACGACATGGTGGCAACCTTACCGACACACCAGAACCCTCACCTCATCCACGAGTACTTGGCGCTGGGATTGGCGTCGGCAAGACAGGTGAGAGTGACCTTGGTGCTTCCCTCTTGCATGGGGCCAGTGACTCCACTGATCGTCGTCACCTTCGGCTTGTCTGCGAATGGTAGAATACGCAAAACTGCCCTCGTCACCGCCGCCACCACTACTACTCCTGTCGTGTTTCCGTGTTGTGTTTGTTGTTGTTTGTTGGTGTAAACGTTCATAAAGTTACATGCCAATTTCTCACATTAACATTACTAGCCCCGGCCACTTCTTTATGACCCTTGAGCTACACCCATTTCAAACCTTTTAAAACAGTCTGCCTCAGCAGCAGACCATGCTTTCCCACCTGATGATGGACGCTTGTTGTGCACCCGAAACGTCGTGATTTATTTTTATTTTATACCTACGTGACTTTACCAAAAGAACCAAAGAGATTCCTGCAGTCACGAAAGCTTCAAATCAAGCTCATATCGTATTTTATACTTGAATACCACAGGTGCTTTCACCGCACAAAACTTTTCGCCTGTCTGCTTCTGAAACAAAAGTCAATACCTCAGTGGGCTTCGCCTGGTAGGATGCGGATGGTTCAGTTGTACTTGTATGTGTTTGTGTTTGGATGAATTGTTTAACTTTCTTGTACTTTGAAATACTCTACTGTTTTTGTACTGTTTGTTGTTGTAACGTTGCAACCCCATGCCCTTAACTGGACATCTGTGAAAAGTAGCTTTATAGCTCATCGGATTCCTCCAGGGTAAATAAATACTCTGATTTGGCGACATGGTCCAAATTAGAACAAACATGTTACATTCGTCTATGGGACCCTTTAACATTAAGTATATCTGACCCTTTAACATTACATTTATGGGACCCTTTAACATTAAGTATATCTGACGCTTTAACATTACGTTTATCTGACCCTTTAACATTAAGTATATCTGACCCTTTAACATTACTGCATCTGTGTATGGTACACCAGCTGCACAGTGGCTCAGAGGAAAGCGCTCCAGAGGGTCATCAACACAGCCCAAAAGATCGCCGGCTGCCATCTCCCCACACTGGAAGAACTACACAGTTCACGTTGCATCAAAAACGCACAGAACATTATAAAGGACTCTTCTCACCCTGGACACTCACTGTTTGAGCTGTTGCCATCAGGCAGACGATTCAGATCAGTCAAAACAAGGACAAACAGATTCAAACAGAGCTTTTATCCTACAGCGATCACCACACTCAATAATGCTAATTAATTATTAAGTAATAGTGTTTACAATTGACTGTGAAATAGAGATGTGCAATGACAAAATGTAACCTTATGTGGGTATGTGGGTATACTTGGGCTGTTTTTATATATAGTATAAATTGATTATCTTTCATTTAATTTTATTTGTATTTTCTTGTTTTATTTAATTTAAATTTATGAATGATGCCCTGACTGGTGAGCATTTTAAATTTCGTTGTACTGGTGACAATGACAATAAACGATCTATCTATCTATCTATTACATTTATGGGACCCTTTAACATTAAGTATATCTGACCCTTTAACATTAAGCATATCTGACCCTTTAACATTAAGTCTATCTGACCCTTTAACATTAAGTATATCTGACCCTTTAACATTAAGCATATCTGACTCTTTAACATTAAGCATATCTGACCCTTTAACATTACGTATATCTGACCCTTTAACATTAAGTATATCTGACCCTTTAACATTAAGTCTATCTGACCCTTTAACATTAAGTCTATCTGACCCTTTAACATTAAGTATATCTGACCCTTTAACATTAAGTCTATCTGACCCTTTAACATTAAGTCTATCTGACCCTTTAACATTAAGCATATCTGACCCTTTAACATTACGTATATCTGACCCTTTAACATTAAGTCTATCTGACCCTTTAACATTAAGTCTATCTGACCCTTTAACATTAAGTCTATGAGAGACACGCACACAGCAACATCGACCCCCACCCCCCCCCCATTGTGAAACTACCGCAGACTATGTCTGTGAAACATCGCGCCGTCCTACGTGATTGCCCTGAACATCATAAACGGTGTGAACACCAACGACTTGCTACATTCCTTTAGTTATTATAATTTACTGCATGTCCGTGCAGTGCCGACGGAGCTGCATTGGCAACCGGTTGTTGACAACGAATACATGATTTAAAGGTCGCACTCATTGCACACACAAAGTGTTCGCCATAAATTAACCACAATACCTCGCCGATCTCGTCAAGGAGCATAAACCATCATCATCACGTGAACTTCAGTGGTCATCCTCGCAGCAGCAGCAAGGTCTTTCGGCTAAGCCATCGAACAAAGACGGTGGTCACTGCGTCGTGCGCTTTCAGATGCGCTTCTGCGGCCGTCTGGAACGCTCTTCCTTCCTATACTAGGAAGCCACTGTAAGCCGTGTACTTTAAAATCTAGATTTCAAACTAATTTCTTTATAAACAGCTATTTTGTGTTTAGTTTGTTGTCCTGCCCCCCCACCCCGCACCTTCGATTAGCATGGTTGACTTCGTACGTTCGTACGGTGCACGAAAAAAGTTCAATATACATAGATTTAAGTGGAGCTTTAAAAACGGACCAATTGTCGGGGCTGGTAAAGCACTTGGTACATTTTAAGCGTGAAACGATATCATCGCCCAGTACTGGCAGACTAACTTCTCATTTGTAGGCCAGCACTGCATACACCTTGTGCCACATAGGGACAGCTGCCACTGGGGGTCCCCAGCAGTGTTCAAACGCAGGGATTAAGTTTGGGTACCCCCCCCCCCCCACCTTTTCCAAGTCATCTGGTTTGTGTGGAAGAGTAGGCCAAGTTTCTCTCGAGTGGGTGGGAGGTCCTTCTGTCAGCAGTGGTGTGAGCAAGCAATTGCAGGGCTGTGCCTTCACCCCGTATTATCTGTATGCAGTGGTACATCGTCTTGTGCTTACCAATACTCTGTAAAAACTATAAACGAAACTATTTTTATTTTACCAGGTAAGGCCCACTGAGCTACATCGCTCTTTTTCGGAATCAACCTACGAACCTAGCTATCACAAATTATAGCTCAACGAAATTGCGTATCATCGCATGGAAATGTATAGCAGCCAAATAACTTAAACGCATGGTGATGGTGATTCTAAATATGGAGGGGACAAGTCGGAGGACCCGGAGCAAAAGTCCACGTGACCATGGGGGGGGGGGGGGGGGAGAAAGAGAGACGCACAAACTCCAAATATACAGCAGGCATCAGGGGTCGGGATCTAACCCAAGAACCTCCTGTATACCAGGCGAGGTAGTTAACATCTCCTAGGCACCACGGAATGGTGGGAAACACCACTCACAGTGCACATTGAGAGCGACGATCTTCTCGATCTGATTGACGTTCCCGGACTGCGTCACGACGCACGCGAGCGACGCTTTGTTCATCTCCTTCGTCGGCTCCAACCGCAGCTCCCGCGTCACGCTGATGGAGCTATTTTTGTGATCGATGATGGTGCCCGCGTCATCCTTCAGGGCTTCAAAGACAAAGTGGCTTCCCGAGACGTTCTTCAGAGTCCAGGCTATCTTCGCCGCGGGGTTCCCGTTGGCCGCTACGCACGTCGCCGCCAGCTGAGATGCCCCGCGACCAGACACCAGGGGAGCCGGGCCCAACACCAACGTCACCTCTGGTGTCACTGAAACAATGGCGACGCAAACCGGCGGAGGTCGTGAGCACAGTGTCTGGGTTTGTTGTCGTCGTCATCATCATCGTCATCGTTGTCAGAGACCCAATGCCTCTGTGTCGAGGCCTTAAATGGAGAGAGGGGGGGGGGCAGAGAGAGAGAGGTGGGTCTGCTGGGGCCGCTGCTGGAGCAGAGAAATTAGCATGTCAATGAATCCACCCTGAAGCGACCGTGGGAACGAAGATCGAATGTCCCTATGAGAGCCTGGCAAATTAATAATATAAAAATGTAATAATATTAACGTGTTTAAGCAAACAGATTGTCCACCGCCGGCTGCATTAAATAATTAAGTTGTGTACTGAAGCCAGTCGAACAGATTAGGGGCCGTCCATAAATGACGTCACGCGATTTTGGACGATTTTTGACCCCCCCCCCCCCCCTTCGTCACACGGCGTCACAAAAAGTCAGACCCCCCTCCCCTCAAATATGACGTCACAAAGCTCTGCCCCCCCACCTAAAATAAAGCATGCTTAAAATCGCTTTAAACTATTGTCATGGTAGTGCGTATTTAATGTGTCGCTGCACTCTGATGTTGTAGGAGAAAACATTTATTAAAAAGTCTATTTAATTAAGTAGAACATGTTTTCTATATTTATATAAAGTTGCGCATTTTGATGTGACGTCACATTTCTCAAACACCCCCCCCCCTCGTTACAAATGTCTGACCCCCCCCCCTCGGTGCGTGACGTCATTTATGGCCGGCACCGTACGTACTAAATGGATGGCCCCTTACCCTATTTTCAGGAGGGTGTTGCCACGGTGGCGAGATGTTAACTACCTCACCTGCCATACAGGGGGTGGTCTGGCCCACCCCTACTGGACGGTGGTGAAAGAAGAGCTTTATAGCTCATCGGATTCCTCCTCCTGTGGCCTCAGTCAAAGATTCTGAACAACGACATGAACCACTTTATTTTCTCGTTAACCTCGTAAATGAAGCTAACCACTTCGTTACCGATTGAACTCACCGACCACGATGAGGTTGATCTTCACCTCCTTAGTCCCTTTTGTTGTTGTCGTGAATGTGCAGATGTAGGAGCCGCTGTCCGAGGCGCGCAGCGCGCGGATTGAGATGGTGGCATTGTTGTTTCCGTGGCCAAGGAAAGTCAGGCGCCCTTTTAACTTATCATTTATTTCACTTTGATCATTCTGGCGACTTGCTATGTACACAGGCTCCTGAGTTGTTTCCTTTACCCATCCTATCTGGATGACGGTCTCGCTTCCCGTGTAGACGCAGCGCAGCTTCACGTCTCCTCCGCTCCCACCAGACGCTTCACTGTCGTGTTCGATCTCCGATGTAACACTCTGGGCACCTGCACAGGCAAAGAGACAAAGACATACACTCATACACATATACATACACACATATACACATACATACACACATATACACAGACATAAACACATACATACACACATATACACATACACAGACATACACAGACATACACACATATACACAGACATATACACACATATACACAAAGACATACACACATATACACATATATACACACATATACACACACATACACACAGACATATATACACACATATACACAAAGACATACACACATAGACATACACAAACACAAAGACATACACATAAAGACATATACGTACACAGACATACACACAAATATATACACACAAAGATCCCCCGTGTAGCCTACACAAGGTATTGAGACAAGTGATTTTAGCCAGCATACAAAGACATACACATACAGACACACATAGCCAAAGATTCCCCGCATAGCCTTAACATGCTGTTGGGGCAAGTGCTGTTAGCGAGCAGCACCTATGAAGGCCGGCACGGCACACGAGGGGGTGGGTGGCCAGCACCACGCCCGGCCGCCTTTATCTCCCTAGTGACGATGTTTACACATCGCACCAGGTACTCATTTTAGGCTGAGTCGACCTAGGGGAGGCCCAGGACCGGTTCAGATAATCGTCACCGGTGTTGGTCGTGACCGGGAATCAAACTCGGGTAGCCAGGTTCGTAGCGCAGCATGCTAACCACTACAAAACATAAACACATCCACATACAAAGACAAAGATCCCCCGTGTAGCCTACACAGGGTTTGGGACAAGTGCTTTCAGCCAGCATACAAAGACATATACGTGCATACACACAAAGACAGAAACACACATACACACACAAAGACAAAGATCCCCCGTGTAGCCTACACAGGATATTGGGACAAGTGCTTTCAGTCAGCACACAGCCACCGCCATTCACCACGAAGTGGCGGTGACGTCACCATGGCACCTGTGCCAGGCCAGGTGCAACGTTGAGGCCATAACGTGAAGTGTCGAAAGTTCGCAGCTAGCAGAAGGTCACGGGACAGACCCAGCAGGTGCCACGCGTTGTCTGACTGAGATGGCTACTGGAAAAGTATCCAGACTCTTTATCAATTGGGATCACACACACGCAGCAACATCAGCATCATCGTCGTCCTCCTCTCCAGAAAAAAGCTTTGGCAGGACCCTCCTGAAAAAGAGTATTGAGACTCGGCAAGGCTTTGCTGGTAAACAAGCGGGATTATAATTTTAGAAAAATACTGTTAATGGAGAGATAGCCAGAGATTGAATCCCAGCGCTTGTCCTAAGATTTTCCGACACAGCCCTTTATGAGCCCCAAAACCAGACACACCCTAACCCAGTAATTGGAACTCAGAATCTCACCATTGCTGTTCTAGTATCTCTGACATGGTCACTAGGAACCCCTTGACAGAGAGAGGCACCCAAGTTAACTGTATATGTGTACATTCGCACAAGCTAAGACAGATATTATGGAGGTAAAGGTGCAGCCCTGCAATTACTTGCTAATGCCATCGAAAGTGAAAACAATTCTTTTGTACCAGTAAAGACCCACTGACCTCTGTAGCTCTTTTTCAGAAGCGACCTGGCAATCACAAATGATATCTCAACGAAGTGGCTCATCATCACGTGGAGATTTATAGCAGCTGAATTCTCTAAAATACGTGATTTGTATTCTAAATGTGGAGAGAAAAACCGGAGGACGTGGAGAAACATCCACACAATCACGGGAAGAGAGACTCCGCAAACTCCAGATATACAGTAGGCGTCAGGGTCGTGATCGAACCCACGACCTCCGGTATACCAGGCAAGGTAGTTAACATCTCCTAGCCACCGTGGCCCCATTGCGCTAACCATAACAGCATTGACGGCTCCCTTAATTTATCAGTGGAGATGATAAAATACTTAAATATTACTTAGAATTATTTTATATATTTTAAATGTGTAAATTTTTGTTAATATTTTATGTTGGTTATGCGATAAAGAATGTACGGCGTCTTTCAATGTTTTTGTATTGAGGTGCCTATAAATAAAATCCTCTACAGTGGATTTTTCTGTGGGCCCTCCGGATTTTCCCTCCACATTTAGAATCAACGTCACCATTGTGTTTGCCTGCCACTAAGAATGTCCACGTGATGATGATGATAAGCCCACTTCGTTGAGCTATCATTTGTGGTAGCCAGGCCGCTTATGAAAAAAAGTTATATAGTTCCGTGGAGGGTACGCGGTAGTAACATATAAATATATAATACAAAATTATACATTTACGAAAATGAGATTTTTTTCATATAAATTTTTTTATATATTTATATATTAAATACAGAGTGGCCCATCAGTCTGAAATCATAGGGGAAAATAACGAATTCGTATGTGTTTATTTTTATAGGCCCAAGATGTCTCTGTGTAAGGAAGAACGAGTCCAGATAATTCTACTCATAGGAAATCGGAGTCAGAGGACACATTGAGCACGTTCTGTGAATAAAGGCGTTATTATTGCCTTTTTGTGTTATTTTTGCTATGGTTCCAGACTTATGGGGTACCCTGTATATAAATGATTTAAGAATTTTTTTAATATATATTTATATATGAAATATTTAAAGTATATATAATTGTTTTTTATTTTATATATTTATATATCAAATATATAACTATATTTTTACACGAATTATTTTTCAATAAATATTTTTACTATCATTTTTTATTCTATATATTTATAACTAAAAAAACATGTTTTCACTAAATGTTTTTTTTATTTTCGTAAAAACATACATTTTGTATTCTATTTACTTCTATAGATATCAATAGACTCATAAAGAGTATATCCGTGATCAAACAGCGCTCTCAAGTGTTACAAATTGACGGTCTCAGCCCGCCGACCGATGACTGCGACGCAAAAACCAAACCCCTCCGTGCCGTCGAACGCCAACTTCACGTAAACTCCAATGAAAACTAATCTGGGTTTCGACTGCGTGATCAACAGCGACTTCTCGCGATGTCCCATCAATAGCGGCACGAGTTTGATCATCTTTTTTTATTGGAAGGGGGTTGGGAGGTGGAGCGGTGGGGGTAGAACAAACTGAACATCACACAGCAAAAACTCAACACAGTCATCGATCACAGTGCCCGTGTCTGTGGTTTTTAAAGAAAAACAATCTATATAACAGGGACTCCTCTACTTACGAACGAGTTAGGTTCCAGAGGTCTATTCGAAAGTCGATTCGTTTGTTTACTCTTGTTGATTACAAACATGTTGTATGGCATCTACACTAAACATGGGGGAATGGCTTTAAAAGTTGGAAAATCTCCTGTAGTCGTAGATGCGACTGGTTTTTCACATTCTGCAGATTGATATGCCACTGGTTCTTCACGTTCTGCAGATGTAGATGCCACTGGTTTTTCACATTCTGCAGATTGATATGCCACTATTTCTTCACGTTCTGCAGATGTAGATGCCACTGGTTCTTCACGTTCTGCAGATGTAGATGCCACTGGTTCTTCACGTTCTGCAGATGTAGATGCCACCACCGCCATCTATTGCACGTATGCTGAACTTACGACTCTCGGTCCGGACGGGCAACTGGGTTGTTTGTATCTCTAAAAGTTCGTTAGTCGAATGTTCGTAAGTAGAGAAGTCCCTGTAACAGACAACGTTTCAGGCATTGGGCTTCCTCCATAGCACGTACATGTGTGTTTTAGCTGCTCTTGTGAAACGCGGCAGCAGCATTACCACCGCCAAATAATGTATTAAACGTTTTGCACGCTGCTCCGGTCAGATTGAGCAAGCCATCATCTTTCGACATTTTCCGTCCCGAGGAAGAAAGATAAAAAAAAACTTCTGACTAACTTCAAAACCTGTCACTTTTTTATTGTCTTCAATGTATTAACAAATAAATGTAACCTTAGCATGCAGCAGTTAAGACATGGGCTAAATAAAGTAATCTCTGTCTGTGTACCCCTATCAGCCCTATTCTTGTCAACTGTGTACCCATTTTTTTAATTTAGATTGAAAACTCGTTTCTTTAGAACTGCTTTTTGTGTCCGAGTTGTCCTTGCCCCGCACCTCAGATTAGCGCAGTCGGCTACGTACGGTGCAAAAGAAGTTCAACATACATACATTAGCACTGTTGGCTATGTACGGTGCGAGAGAAGTTCAACATACATACATATTGGCCTTCTCTCTGCCAACTGTGTACCCCTACCAGCGTGTACGTCGCTCTATTTTTACAAGATTTAGTTTAATTAAAATATCGGGTTGACCAGCACGCGACGAACGCCGCTCTCACATGGCAGAGCGGCTGGGAAAACGCTGCCCTCTACTCATTTTGCGTGGCCCAGAGGTCACTTGAAGAACACGAGACGTCAGGAGGTAGCTCTACGATGTCCTCTCCCGTGCAACGTTCTTCTAACGACACGGCGCAGGCATCGTGGGCTGACCGTGTTCGGTGAGAAGATTTTTCTTCTCGTGGATTCTTGATCTTCTTCGTGTGAAGACGCGAATAATACTGGTGGTGGGGGGTAAAAATCGGCGGCGTTGGAAACGGCAGCAAACATTTTTCAATTAACCACCGCCCCACTCTCCTTCACCCCAACATCATCAAGAGCGACATGAGATGGCAAACAACTGGTGAACAGTTTCCATGGCATGGGCTAAAGGCTGTATTTGACCAGTGTGAGAAGAAATCCGTGTGAATGAGAGCGTGCAAAGCCACTGTGTGTGTGTGTGATGGGTGAGTGTGGAAAGCGGTAGTGTAGCAGATTAGCGCGCTGCGCTACGAACCTGGCGATCAAAGTTCGATTCCCGCTCACTGCCAACACCGGTGAAAATTATCTGGACCGGTCCTGGGACTCCCCTAGGTCGACTCAGCCTCAAATGAGTACCTGGCGAGGTATGTAAACATGGCAACTAGGAAGACAAAGGTGGCCGGGCGTGGTGTTGGCCACCCACGCCTTTGCGTGCAGTGGCGGCTTTCGTAGGTGCTACTCGCTAACAGCA